CTGTATTGTTAATTAATAATAAGTATATAATCAAATAATCGGAGAAACAATTGTTTTTAACACATTCTTAGTGAATTAGCAACAATCTAATTGATTTTCTTTTCTGATGAAATATAGACTACAAAATGTTAAATAGCCTTGACCTCCATTTCAGATTTCTGTATTTGGAAACATATTTTTTATTTTAGCAATTCATATTAATTATCTAATATAATAATACCCTGCCCATTTACATAACTTATACCCCCTAATATAATAATTATACAATATACAGGGTAGAATTGAAAACAAAAAAAAACTTTGCTCCGATAATGAGCTTCGGCCAGTCGATGGGCCATTTCAACGATATTAAAACTTTTAACACACATACATACAAACCCACATACATCTATATATACACATGTATTGTTTTCAAACATTTTTTCAGCAATTGTACCGTTTCGCATCGATTACATGGCAGACAGTTTACATTTACTTATCATTCTACAATTGTAGAATGGAAACACACACACACTTGCACACTAACACCAATCTATACAAAGTGTGATCGCGTACGAAGGTTATGACAGAAAAGAAAATAAATAAAAAGCTCTCACCAATTTTGTTTAATTAAGGCACACACTCTCTCGCTCTCTCTCTCTCTCTCTCTCTCGCTGAATGGCTCTCTAACACGCTCGTTAAGTTGGAGTTTGACTGCGACTGCCGAAGCGTCTGACAACTGACTAACTTAAGCCTATCCCGCCACACTTCTGGAAACATTTGCAAAGTGCTTGACTTGACCGCTCTGTCAATATAAACAGTGATAAAACAAAATCGAAAAGCCAAACACTACTGAGAGAGCGCAGAGTGGAAGACCGAGAGAGCGGCGTAGTTAGGTGCAGACGCTGGACGAAGCTTCGTCTGACGTTCAGTCCACACGCTGCTGTTAGCCGACAGCGTTGATCAGTACGTATTCAGTGCTCAAGCGGCGACGACGTCGTGTGTTGGTGGTGTGCGTGGTGCGTTCCAGCAGTAAATCAAGAGAGAGAGCAGCGTTAAGAACCGGGTAAAGAACGATTCACAATATCCAGACCAGTTTTTCGCCGTCAATTGTGGTAATGATGCGCTGAACTTCTTACTCTCTCGTGCGTGTGTGTATTGGTGTTGCCAAAAATATAGAGCTTAAGCAATTTATAGCGGTAAACAATATACTGCGCTACAACATTCGTCTCTCGATTTCAAGGTAAACTTTCAATTAGCTGAGTAGTCATTTTTATTCAATATCAGAATGCAGCGATTTACACTGCATGTAATGTGTGTCTGTGTGTGTGTTGTTTAATTCAATTGCCAACATTTGCACAGACATTAGTTTTGATAGCAACAGCGGGAGAAATCATGGCATTATCACGCTACCTGTCGTGATCTACGTCTATGAAAAAATGTGACAATCAGCTGTTTAATGGAAGTGCACACACACACACACACACGCCCATACATATATTTATATATATACATATGTGCTTCGACACAGACGAAATATGCTTCTAGTTGGGAAGGCGCGATTGCTTTAAAATTGTATAGAACAAAAATCTATTATGCGTATATTTTTCTTATTGGATCATGTGATGTTTTGTTGACCTTTGCTCATGGAGCATTTCATTTTATGATCAGATAAACAGCAAAAAGTTCAAAATAAAGCGAAAATAAACGACTTATCAATGCCGGCGTAATCATGTAATTAACTACTATCAACTTAAGGCTTTGGAATGTTTTTACATTTATTATGTTAGCAATTGTTTAGATATACTGAACACATTTACTCGATACTCTGTAATGCGTTAAGCTCTCTCTCTCTCTCTCTTAAGCAAGAGATGAATTTATTTTATGCAAATATGAAACAATGTGTGCTTCATATCCATTTACTTTTTTGACAAAACAAGAGAAAGAGAATCGTGTGATTTATTGGCCATTTGCCGCACGTGGCATGGTTCCCATGAAATGTCTTATGTATATGATTATATATATACATATATACATATAAATATTCATACATATATTTGTGCATATTTGGAACTATTTAGCTTGTTATCACCAGGCAAGCAAACAGCAAACTGAAAAGTCGATTAGCTCAAAGCCCCATATAGCTCAACAGGGTCACATTTTGTCAAGTGACTAAGCATGAAATAGTGTTAGTTAATACGTTAATAGTTCTCAACATAAAAATATACGAACTAAGCGTGAAAAAGTTCGCAGTGTAAAAATAATTGTATTTCCAATTGTTTCTTTAATATCGGAGTAAACAAATGGCATATTTCAATTAGCTTAGTCAGAAAATGTTATCAGTCATTTCTAATATCAAATAAAATACAGTATTTCTTCACTAATGCGAACAGTCGTGTGTTCAGTTAACAGTTTTCAGTGCTTACAACCATTTTCTCTATATCTCGGAAATATAATTTTTAAAAATATATTATTTATCAAATTAGAATATTAATTTAGTTGATTTTATTAAAACAAATTTTGAAATTCATTAAATAAATTTTGAAAAGTCCATTAACAAAGGAACCAAGGAATTTAGAAAACTTTAAAAACAATCAAAATGTTCTGTGTTCAGCTTACGATGGCCATACTGTATTTATTTTGGCATTAATAATTGTCGTACATCAATTTCTGTCAGATATCAACTTCATGTTTTTCAACAGATATATATTTATTTATAAGTTTTTGTCCACAAAATTAAATTATTTTAAAATTTTAAATATTATTTTCTGTGGATCTGCAAGCAACGCGCTCGAATTTGCAAGCGGTCACTGTACCTCACTAGGGTGAGCAGGTCAGTGCATGTGTATGTGTGTGTGTGTGCTCAAAAATGGCTAAGCAAGTAGATATTATAAATGCAAACATACACATACATACGTTTAACTGTGCAGCTCCAAGCACTCACACACAAACTAGCATGTACACACAGACACACGTCCATATAATCATTATTCAGTTGCGCAAATTGCTTAACTTAAAAAGAAAATCAAATCAAGCAACTGAATAAATTGAACTGAAAATAAACAAAAACATATATACACACACATATGTATATATTCAGAAGCTCTGGCCACGTGTTGCTCAATGTCAATGCCGAAATGAAATGCAACCGCTTTTTTTTTCGTAATCTAAGATGCATACAAAATTAGCTAATTGCCCGACAAGTTCTTAGCCGACACAACACGCACGTTGGGTCTTTTGCGGCATATAAACAACTAATATGTTTCTGTATATATATAAATACTAATATTATGTACTCACAAAACGTATGGCACATATGCTTCGACGCAGTTTTATGGTCTTTATAGCGGAAATAGTTGGCAATTTTACGCACAAAATGAAAACAATAAGCGGTACCACACACAAACGACTTCACTCCACTCTGGTCAACATCTAACAAGCAGCTGTTCACACAGCGTTGCCACCAGTCGCCCTCATTTCTCACTGATGTGGCCATATCATTGCGCTAGTGTTGATTAATGACTGTCGTGATTAAAGGCGCGCGTAAGCTATGTCAAGCTTACGTCATGGCTCAGCTGTTTTTGCGCATTTTATTATCCTTAGCTTTTATAGATACTCGCGATGATGTAACGTTTTGTAACTGTTAAAAATGTTGCGCCAACTTGATATTAAAATTAAAATATAGTTTTGTTAATAAGCTTAGTGTTAACTTGACAAAAATGTATTTTAATATATCTATCAATCAAATTAATTGATTAGCTAACAGAAAAAAAAAAGGAAAACAAAATGAGCAGCGAGAAGCATGCCCGTTGGTACTTTGGTGGCATTGCCAGCGTTGGAGCGGCATGCGTAACACATCCTCTGGACCTGCTAAAGGTGACGCTGCAGACGCAACAGGGCGACCTGTCTGTGCTGCGCTTGGTGCCAAAAATCATGCAGGAGCAGGGTGCGCTGGCTTTCTACAATGGTTTATCTGCCTCGATTTTACGCCAAATGACATACTCCACAACCCGCTTTGGCGCCTATGAGGTGGGCAAAGAGTTCGTCAATACGGATACCTTTGCAGGCAAAATTGCCCTGGCCGGTCTCTCGGGCATGATTGGCGGCATCTTTGGCACACCCGCAGATATGATAAATGTGCGCATGCAAAACGATGTCAAGCTCGCTCCCGAGTTGCGCAGAAAGTAGGTTGACCAACAGACTAACTAAATTAACGCCCAGTCTAATCAATCTCTATGATCCCTATACAGCTACCGCTCTGGCGTGGATGGCATTGTCAAGGTGTATCAAACGGAGGGCTTTAAGAAGCTATTTTCGGGAGGCTCGACGGCCACAGCTCGAGGCGTGTTCATGACCATTGGCCAAATCGCTTTCTACGATCAGATCAAATCTTCGCTCTTGGCCACGCCCTATTTCCAGGACAATCTGGTAACGCATTTCACAGCCTCCCTCATGGCTGGCGCCATAGCCACAACGTTAACGCAGCCCATGGATGTGCTGAAGACGCGTTCAATGAATGCCAAGCCCGGCGAATACAAGGGTCTCTGGGATATTGTGCTGCACACCGCTAAACTGGGTCCACTCGGCTTCTTTAAGGGCTACGTGCCGGCATTTGTGCGCCTGGGTCCGCAGACGATATTGACGTTCATGTTCCTAGAGCAGCTGAGATTAAATTTTGGCTACGAGAAGCACTAACATTCCCGCCTGCAAACTAGTATAAGATGACGTTAATTGCATAAATTGCAGCTGTTGGCTTTCGTTTTTAATGTATATAATTTGCGGTTATTAGATCAAAATTGAATTTTATGTTACGTAAGCTTTTTTCGAATTATGAACAATATTAAAGCTGGGCGGAGTTTGCCTCGTTACAAGTCCATTTAAAAAAAACATGCTTCAATTTCCGCTTACAGATTAGATTTCGATCGGTCAACGTGGCGTATGCGCAACACTCGCATGCAACTGTCGCAGGGCGTTTATATAAAAAGCTCGTTTGATGCTCGACAAATTTATACGCAGTCGCGATGTCTGTGTGCTTAGTGAATCTGTTCGCACTGCTGCTAGTCAGCAGCTGTGTCCTGGTGCAAAGTGGCCAATTCAATTCCAGTATAGGCCAAATCGCCAAGACTCACGAGGATAAGACGATGTTCGAATCTGACATTAAAGTCAAATATCAAGATGAAAAAGCAAGCGCCAAGATCAATGGAGAGCTGAAAATTTTCGAGAATCTAGACAACGATTGGAAGGTGAGATAAATGTATTTAAATAAAAGTATATTAAATAGAAATAGATAAGAACAGTGGAAAGTCGGATATTGATGCAATTGCAGGATCGTCCTTACGGACAATAGCTAAGTGATATGACACAACGTATCATGATATTAGCCTGACTGCTAGAGACATTTAAGCTAACTGATATGACATAGCTTTCTCTGCTTATTGCTTGCAGACAGCTGCTGAATGCTATCTCACGGTTCATTGAGACTTCACAACAGCATGAAATACGCACTGCTTACAGACAAATGCAAATTGCTATGACATGCTGCTCATGGCGTCTTCTTAACGAACAAAGTATTTTGCCAAAGCTTAATCAACATTAAATACTCAAAGCTTACAGATTGGCATATATATGCAAGCTTAAAATTAGTATTAACTTGAGTTGTACGGATAGATTTGAATTGTCCAGCTATCATTCCGCCAAAAGATATAGTTTTATATACAAATTTTTTATTTTATATTTATTTTATTTTATATACATATATTTAATCTTAGTATTACAACAATTTAAGAACTTACATCCGCACAGGTGAACATAACAATTCTTGTTGCGAAAACTCCATTGTTGCCGTATAGCATGCATAAGGATTACCCAGTGATGGGAGTTTGCGATTTGATGGGATCGCTATATAAGAACTTTCTATATGCGAAGATTAAGGACTACTCGAATGCTCCCGATCCAAGCAGCTGTCCATTGGCGCCACAAAACTTCTACCTTAAGGATTACACACTGCATGCAACCGAGCTTGAGAAATATTTCCCGACTGGCTTCTATAAAATCTATGGAGAATTGTTAAAGGACAAGGAGGTCAAACTGGGCTATATGATGGAAATCGTAATTGGCTGACAATCGCTCTTTATTGATTAAGTGCTTAAATAAAGAAACTATTCGTAGTTAGACATCTGGCTAACCACCTCGTCGTACACGTATTTCTTGGCCTCAGTGCCCCAGATGAAGTCCAAATGGGCCCACTTCTCGAATGGCACCAAATAGTCGAGCGCCATGTTGGGCAGCTGATCGCGCAGCTTGCGCACATCGCTCACATCGCACATCCAATCGTTGGCGCCATAGTAGAGCAGAACGGGAGCCTTGGCGTTCTTTAGCTTGTACTCCGGCGGATAGTAGCTGCCGTACTCATAGGGATTGCGTAGCACAGAGTAGTCGAACTTGCGGAACTTGCCCGAGTTGTGCTCCTGGCAGAAATGCAGATTCTGATTGACCGAAGCGCCAGCAGGCGACGTAGCCTTGATATGCTCCAGCAGTTCCTGCAGAGAAACCACAGCCAAAGTCATTTACCTAGTTATCTAGTTGCTCTTCTTCTATCACTTACATAATCCAATTGCTCGGAGTCGTAGCCACCAATCAGGAAGACCTCATTAGCGCACATCTCGGCGTAGGGTGAGGTGGCCTGGCACATCTCAATGCCCATGTCCTGCTTGAACTTGTTGCTGGGCATGAACTCCATGGAGCCACAGAGCTCAACGATGGCATTGGGCTGACCCAGAATTGGAGCGAAGGCGCGTGTCAAGGGACTCTTCATGTTTCCCATGAAGGCAGCGGGGCCCAACAGATGAGCGGACTTGATCTTATCGTTGTATTGGGGCTTCTCGGACATCATGACCAGGTAGACGGTGGTGCCCTGCGAGTGGCCCACATACTGCACCTGGCTCTCGCCAGTCACCTCCAAGGCGTAGTCAATCATGGCGGGCACATCGTAGATGCCAATCTCATTCCAGCTGAAGTTCCAGAACAGCTGCCAGAATGTGGGCCAATACTTATGGGCCTTGGAGTAGGTGTTGCCACGGGCGTTGCCCATCCAGACATCGTAGCCAGCATCGGAGAGAATGTAGGCCAAAGCCTTGCCGGGTCCCATCAGTACCCAATCGGAGCTGGAGCTCAGCATGCCGTGCATGAGGAACGCAACAGGTCGCTGGCCAGTGAAGCCCGTCTTGGGGGAATAGGGTATGCGATGCATGGTCAGAATGTAGCTGTCGTCGGTGACCACTGTGTGCCGCTCCATGGGATAGCCATCGTTCTCGATGCGTTCGCCCTGCAAGCAGTGCAACTCTAGAAATCAGAAGTTACGTTAACCGATAATGGGTCTTACGCAATCAGAGATGGGTCTCTCGCCAGCCAGAGCCAGCGCCAGCATGCCCAAGAGCAGGCAAGCGCAAATGAAGTGTCTTCCCATCTTGTTTCTTCTTCCAGTATTGTGCTTCGCCTGTCCACTCGAACGCCTTATATAGCTGGGCATCTGCTATCGCACTATAATATCTGCAGCATTATCTATTGATAATGCTCTGTCTGTGAGTCAAAATTATTGTTTTTACACTTTGTTTACCCCCCCAGCGAACCGAATGCTAATCTATTTTTTCTATTTTTGATTTGAGACACTTTTGTCTCTAATTTACAATTTGCCCGATCCTCCGCGATACTTCAGCACATGTCTAGCTTTATCATTAGTATTATATATATACATATAATTTTTGTTTTATTTATTGAGTTTTTTGTTGTATTTTTGCAGAATTCTTACAATCGTGTTTATACTGTACTCTCGTACTATAAATAACTTATTTGATACAATCACACATCGCTATAAACTTTAGTTAAATTAAAATACCATCAGCGGGACAGCATATGCTTACTATTGGTATTCCTACGGGTATAGGTCAATGTTTGATACTCAAATACATATATGATTCAGGCACGTGATAGATCTTCTGTTATATATAGAAGCTATATATACCCACTGCAACTGCTTAAGTGAAGCTTCAGCAGAAGCAGATGTGTGTACGTATACATATATATGGCATAGTCTATATGGACAACAAGCTATGTCGCATATGCTATACCATCCACTCAAGCCCAGCGAACTCGTTGACTATAAAAGCTATAGACTTGACTCTTGAAAAATATACTTTTCTATAACATAAATAGTATAAGCCTTTAATTGTTGCTAGGTAACTCATCTCACATGCTAGCTATTGATAAGCACTGATCTCTCAGTTTATATATGAAGGCATAAAGATTAGAAAGTTAGTATATAGCTTTTGGTAATGAGACCTGGTGATAGCTTTACACAGAAAAATGTTTGAGTTTTTGTGCAAATGCCCAAAATAACACCAATAATATCATTTTGAAAATATCATGATCTATTATTTATTAACTGGTTGCTGTGTACTTAGAGGTGTGACTGAGTGAATGTGTTTAAATAGAACGAAAAAGAAGCCTCAAGTAACTAGGGTATCTGCTAGCCGAGCACTCCCGCTCTTCAGACAGCATCATCAGAGCAGCAAAACCCCTTGCAAAATCGCTCTTTCACTTCTCTATTCCTACAGGTCGCCCGACCTGGGTCTAGGTCAGCGCTACTTGCTCCCAATACACACAATCGAGACACGTATGCAATCAGAATTATTGATTTGTGGGAGATACACATATGCATCATATATGTACCTTAGCCATGACGACCAGCCACGACCACAACAATCCAATAATTGGTTCCTTATGCAAAGCGACAAACAAATATTCGATAAGCTAGCATATGAGACTTCATTAGATACTGTTGCGTTGTCGTGGAAGGATATAGTTTCCTTACCTTTGTTACCTGCTAACTATTACCTGTTACCAAAATGAAGCATCAGCAAGTTGTTGTTGACTACTGGACCATGCTGAAGACATCAGCACTTTGTCTTATCCTAGCCGTAACGGGCTTCATATTTCTAAGGTATATGCTACCCGTATATCTATGTATATCTGTATATATATCTAGGTATATATATATTTATATATCTATATATTTATATAATATATATATATATATCTATAAAAAACGTAAATTCCTTGATACTTTTAGAATGGTGCAAACGATTTTTTGGCTGCCCAAACGTTTCAATCAGAATCAGGAACGATTGGAGGCCTTGGCCAAGCAATATAGCGATGAAATGGATCCGGAGGAGCGAGCTGAAATCGAAAAGCTGTTCAACAGCAAGGAGCCTCTAACAGAGGAGCAAATAAATAAATTGCTGGATGGCTCGAAAGCGGAAATCGAAGAGCCCAAAAAGGAACAGTAGACACTAGCTACAAAGTACACATAAGATTCTAGCTGAATAAATGTGTGCAACCAACAGTAGGCACTAACTATAAAGTACACATTGTATTTTCGTTTTAAACAATATATAGCATATATATTTTTATATATCTTGTATGTTTTGAAACAATAATTTGTAGTACAGCGTTTTGTTCTTTTACACATTATATATATATATATATATATAAATCTTATAACTGAACAATCAACTTAATAGGCAAACGATAAACGTATAATCAATCAATAAGCAACTGGTTAGTTATGTGTTTATTTAGTTAGCTATATGTATGTATGTTTGTATGTATATATATGGGTACTTATAATAAGAACAAAAATATACATATAGTATATATATATGTATATAGGGGAAAAGCAGTTCTATTTGCTACTGATATATGCGGACTTAAAGCCCTTTCCTGCTTCATTTTCAAGTATTTAGGGGAAGCGAACAAACGAGCCTCAAATAACAAAGGACATTTATATATCATCAACTTCAACCTCTTAAGTTTTTTTTGCAACTAACTCATATCAAATATAAGCAAGCAATACAATATTCCAATAGTCTACAAATACAGATTCATATTTACTATAATTTATACATATATTTATATATATATATATATTTGGTTTTTAAAAAGCGCAAGTCTCTCTTTTGTTTTGGTTTTCACTTCTGACTCTACTTCTTATTTTTTTGTGGATTTTCTTTTTACCACTTTTCTAAAATCTGTCATATATGTAGTACATATAATGAATATAAAAACGTTTCTTTATCTCGCACTTTCTAGCCAGCCAAAAATATCACGAGAGTTTTTGCTATGATAAGAACTAAATTATAAGCCTTTCGATATTTGACATTTTTGCTTGCTTTTGTATAATATATAGAAAGAAAAATGTTGGACCAATTCCGAGAGAGCGCATTTCTGTCTATGTCTAACAACTTTTGGAACAGAATAATTATGTATATATATATATATATATATATATATATGATCTGTTGTGTATATGCTAATAACTTAGTTAATATTTCTTTCAGATAGATTATTTACTGTATATATATTTATATACTTTCTGATAACTTTTCGAGCTGCTCTCGTTGTTCTATTTGCTGGCGCTATGCATTGGAAATCTGAAAAATGGATTGGCCAAGTTAACGCGTGCAGCGGGCAACAGCTCGGGATGTTCGGTTAGAGTATCGGACAGTGCAGTAAGCAGAACTCCTGAAAGCAAAGAGAAAGCCAATGATAAGTCATATTTTACTTGATAATATTCAATGTCCACTCACTTAGCACTTTCTTCTGCAAGTCAACAGGTATGATGCCCAAATTGCCCTCGTGCTCTAGGAATTCGGTTAGCTTCTGCAGCTCCTGCTGTGCCTCATCGGAGCCATGGGCCAGCGACTGAGCAAACATTACCTAAAGAATAAATGTTGCAATGTACTCTCTCCCTCCCTCTCTCTTCATAGTTCATTATAGCCTACTTACCTTGGCCAACTTATAGAGTATTTCCTCTAAGCTGTACTCGTTGTACAAGTACTCAACGATCTTAGCACGTCCCATGGTTTCATCATAATCCGTTAGATCTGTCATACACATATTTATTAGCTTTGGTATGACACTTTATTAACTTCTAACCCACCTTGCGGAGTCTCACTCTCTAGCGCCTTCAGCTTGTTCCAGAAGGTGAAGCTGTCCAGGGACTTGCCACGGCCTATTTCGGGAGTAACAGCCTCTGCATCGGCATCCAGGTGCATAAATGGTTTCTCTGTAGTGGTGCTCGTGGTGGTTGTTGTTGTTGTCGACGTGGTGGTCGAGCTGGGCAAAGTATTGCGCTTCAAGTGGTTCTGTCGCAGCTCTTCGGGGAAAATGCGATTGGCATAGGAGCGCTGCAAGAACTCTATGCCTAGACGAATATCACGCAAAAACTTCAGAGCACCTTCGCGGGTAATCTGTGATCGAAGACATAAACATCAGTACGCAAATAGATATAGATATCCATATAACTATGGGCTGTCATTAGATCTTAGAAGAGAGATAGATGCATAGATAGACAGAAGGTTTAGTAAGAAAAACCCACCAAATTCTCATCGATCAATTCCTCGACTGCCCTGGCTACGCCTGTCTCATCGCCAGTCCAGAACACATACTGCGCCATATCGAAGGAAGAGTATTGGCCATTCGGATTGCGCAACAGACTCTGCGCGGTCTACAAGAAAGAGTTGAAATAGAGTCTGTGAGTAAAGCGAACTGAGCAGAAGCGGGAGTTGGGAGGTGGCGTGCAAGCAAGAGTGGGCGGATGTTGAGAATAGATCAATTTAGTTGGGTTAGCCAATTCGTTGCCGATCAGTGAAATGTTTACTGAGTTGTCATAAGAACCTTGGCCGTCATATGTGGCATGCCGGAGCGCCGCTCAGTTGTCTTGGCCACCGTCTCCAACTGATCGATCAGTATATCGCCGATGGTCTCCTTGTTAAGATCGTGATTATGATGCGCCGCGGACATTGCGTCAACGTCTGGCACAGCAGCTGCAGCTTCAGCTGTCTCTTCGGTATTCTCTGCTGGCTCCCCCGCCACATCCTCGCCAGCTTGCGCTGCGGCTTCTGTGGCAACCGTTGGCGTTGCAGTAGTAGTTGATGTTGTTGTCGTTGTTGTAGGCAATGCGGTTGTTGTTGTTGTTGTCGTCGTCGTCGTTGTGGTTGCGGGAGATGTTGGCAATACCTCAGGATTCTGGCCAAATGCTAGACGCGCTGCACCGTAGAAAGCCTGTTGGTTTTTGGGTGGTTTCGTGGATATACACTTGGATTTTCAAAAGACACATATTGGCTTGGTTTACAAGGGGCATACATACATACATATATAGCTATGGGACGGGACTTGGCAAGGCTATGGCTTTTTACCTTGGCATGTGCGCCCGGCTCATTGGCCGGCTTGGCCGCTGTTTTCGGCTCCTCCAGCTGTGAGCGCTCGCCCTCATCCTTAAAAGCAGCCGTTGTCGTAGTTGCTGATGTGCTGGTCGTGGTTGTGGTGGACATTGACATCAGTGGCGTGGCCACCTCCAGTTGACGCTCCAGGTCAGGCATCAGATGCTGCTGCTGTTGCTCCTTGCTGCCCGCCTCTGGTGGGGCAATTACTTTCTCAATGCTCTCCTTGGTGGTGGTTGTGGTGGTCCGTGCGGTGCTGCCATCATGCTGCCGCTTGCCCGCAACGGGCTGCTCCTGTCGCAGCTGATCCAGTTCCACGACATCGTCCTCGATTTGCGGAAAGGCCGCAGCGCTGCGCTTCAAAGGAGCTGCACAGATATACATATATATAGTATATAGTATATGTAGTGCATGCAGTGAGGCCTACTTACAGTAGAGATATGGCAAGAGCGCCGGATAGGCCTGAGCCAAGCTGCAGCTGGCAACCAGAACAACAGCCACGAATCGATTACCAAACATAATTTAATTTCGCAAGCTGCAAAGGACATTAGTGGAATCAATTTGATTAGCTGCCAAAAAAACTTGATTATGCATACAAATAAAACTTTATCTGTGTATGTGTAAAGAGAGTGAAGCACAAATACACGCACAGCAATGCAAATAAATAATGCTAAAAATAACACAAGAAATCGATAAAACAGCGGCAGTAAAAGCGTCCAAAGCAAAGCAAAGCACAACGAAAACACAAAAAAAAAATAAAAAAACAAAAAACAACAAGAAAGAAAAGTTTAATTTGGTAATGGCGAACATTAAATGCCCTTACAGGTAATAAAAACAAGACTGGGGTAAACTCGGTGAAATAAATTGTAAATGCAAAAGAAGCTCGATTAACTTCATTTACATATGTATATACATATCTTCCTTTCCTACAAAAAAGGTTTAATTAAAATAAAAAAAAAGAAAAAACCATATTAAAAGTTTAATTTAATTTAAATTTAAGTTCAATATAATAATAAAAAATGGATTGTGATACATAAAAAAAATATATATAAAAATATTTATGTATTAAATACATTCAAGTTTGAGAAAATAGTTTTCAAAACTGTACATAAATAAAAAAATTATTCACAAAAAAATAATTATAAGTAACAGCATTACAAGAATCTTAAGTAAATGACGATATAATGAAAAAGACAAGCTTTTGAAGACAGAATTAAGTTAAATTTCTTTTAAATAATTATTATATTATATTATTTATATAAATATATATTATAAAAGTAGTGTATAGTACAAGATAAAACTATAATACATAATTTTCGACTTATCCTATATGCCATCTCTTATCGAATCACAAAGCTCACAACACATTCAACATACTGATTGCAAGAGTATACAAGCAAGGGGCCACAACAACAAGCTCGGGTCTTGTCAATGGGAGAGCAGAACGGAACACGCCAACTTTGATGTTAAGCGAATTTTATGCTGTGGTCCCTAACTAAGCCACCCAACCAACTACACCCTCACTGTGTGCACACACAGAAACAAAGAAGGAGCACACTCACACACACACAAAGTAAATTGTAATAGATTGGCCACAAAAGCGAATTATCGATGCATTTGGGAGCACTTAGGCACGTTTTGAGCATTGCAAACCACTTTGTGTTGTAGATTGTATGGTTGAGTGGGGCTGCAGCAGCAGCAGTTAAAACCACAGCCAAAATTATGCTGCAAATGCAGCTCAAATCATCACACATACACTCTTCCATGTACACACAAACACGCAATAAGTCCATGCATAGAACGTTGCGCAAAAAACAATGAAAATATGGCAACGCTCAAAAGTGTGCTATAATAAATGGTTAACAACGCAATAGACATTTTGCAAACATAACTGTTATTATTACTACAATTGACACAAATTGAACAAACTTTTTCACTTTTACCTTTTGAAATGTATAATTCTGTAAAAACTCGTCCTAACCGCACGAACGCAGAGAAGACTCTGAGCCGAGCAACGAATTGCGAATTGTTTGGTTGCAAAAGAAATTGAAAGCTCGCTCTTGCCGCTAAAGCGCTTTAACACTATACCGCCAATTGGGCAATAAACTGCCCACTTTAAGGATAAAAGCTCAATTGAAAGCTTGAGAATTTATTCAAGCGCTTGTTCAAGTTTTTTTTTCTTAACAATGTTTTAAATTTATTGAAAAAACAATAGCATAAAATAAAGCATTTTCATTAATTGCAGCCTGGAAATGGATCTACACGATTCTTTCTCAGCACAAATTGAATTTTGCGATTCATGTCCTCATTGTAGATGGCTTTGCACTTTTCAAAATTAATACGACGACGCACCTGTAAAATGGCAGTTATTAGTTATATTTAAGAACATATATAAATATTTATATTGCTTGTGTACGCACCTGGTAAGGCTTCTCGTAGAAACGCGTGCGGCGAAACTGATCGAAGATTTCTTCCTTGCCGAGTATGCGGTTTAGAATTCGGCATGCTTCCTCCACGTTATTGTTGTGCACAAACACAGTGCGTGCTAAGAATTGAGCGTGTCTCATGTTTAATTCTAATTCAGAATTTATTTCATTAAATATTTCTGTTATTCCAGCCGAGTTAAATAATCAGGTCGCAGAAGACAGCTGTTCGGAGAAGTGTGACCGTATTTCTTATAGCCGAGCTGGGCTTGCCAGACTGCGCATTTATAACAGAGTTGCATTTGCCAAATCAACGAGTCGTTACTATGGCATTATTATTACATTTAAAGTATTGTAATACGTATCACCCCTAATATATTCTCGATCTTTCATACAACAAGCGTGGCGGATTCGTATAGCGATAGCAGGCTGCTGAAAAAGTATTCGAAATAGATTTAAAATTATAGTAAAAGTGTATTTCTTAAAGCGTACTGTAAAAACGGTATACATATATATATATATAACTATTAGAACAAATACTCGAATACTCCGTGGACTCCTGCTATAAAAAGGTAAGAACTACTAAGAAATGAACTAATTATTTCCGCAGACATTTGCATTATGTGTGTATTTGGCGATCAAGTTTTGCCCACTCTTTGTTAAGTAATCATAAATATAGTACAGATTTTTTATTTGCGACGCAGATAGTGAGTGCATTATGTTATGCTTGCTGCACTATTTTGCAAAATCGATTCTAGTCGGCAACGAAAGCTGAAATTTCTTTGTCTCTACCCCAATTAATATTCCTCTGACGCAGCGTCCTGCGCGGCACATGTTTTTAGCTTGTGAGCCCATACACACTCGTATTTCTGTATGTATGTCTGGGCATTGCAACTTGCACAATTGACAAGGGGTCTACGAAAATCGCACACAAATCAATAGAAAATTTTACAGCGTTTTCTTTTTTCATTTCGTTTTCTGCACGTTGCTTTCCACCTAGTCACTGTGTTGGTGTGCTTTTTTTCACATTATCATGCCGTTTGCTTTGTGTCGATGTTCGCACAGGGGCAACGGTTACGGCGACCAGGGCTGCACAGTGCTGACGAAATTTTTCTAGAAGTTTATGTACATTTATATATACATACAACGTATATATGTGTGCACGTGTGTGCGTGTGTATCTGCGTCAGAATGAGAGACAGTCAGTACGAAATACAGAGCAGAGCAGAGCAGAGTCAGCTGTGAGGCGTCGAATGTGGTATCCAAAACCGAACAAAAAAAAAGTAAATTGAAATAGAAAATTTCTAGAAAACGTGGTGCCCCGTTGTCGTTGGCATATCTGCTGACCTTCAAATTGCTTTTTTATTTTCGCATGCCGGAAATGCCATTTATAAGAATAAAAAACTAAAAATTTATAAATATCTGGCAACTCGAGTAATTGCAATGTAATTTTGTCTGCTTGCAGTAAAAGTTGAAAAGAAACAACTAAAAAGAAAAAATGGTTAAAGAAACGGGCTATTACGATCTGCTGGGAGTGAAGCCCAACGCAACCCCTGATGAGCTGAAGAAGGCCTACAGAAAATTGGCGCTCAAATACCATCCAGACAAGAATCCCAATGAGGGTGAGAAATTTAAAGCCATCTCGCAGGCGTACGAAGTGCTCTCCGATGCGGACAAGCGTCAAATATACGATGAGGGCGGTGAGGCGGCCATCAAGAAAGGTGGCGCTGATTCCGGTGATTTCCGCAATCCAATGGACTTCTTTGAGAAATTCTTTGGCGCCGGTTTTGGTGGTGGCGGCGGCGGTCGTCGCCGTGAGCGACGCGGCAAGGATGTAGTCCATCAGATGTCCGTTCAACTGGAAGAGCTGTACAATGGCGCAACACGCAAGCTGCAGCTGCAAAAGAATGTGATTTGTGACAAGTGCGAGGGACGCGGTGGTAAGAAGGGCAGCATCGAGAAGTGTGTACAGTGTCGCGGCAATGGTGTTGAGATTCGTGTGCAACAAATTGCGCCCGGAATTGTGCAACACAACGAGCAGGTGTGCCGAAAGTGTTCCGGCAGCGGTGAGACCATACAGGAGAAGGATCGCTGCAAGAACTGCAACGGACGCAAAACGGTGCGAGAGCGCAAGGTGTTGGAGGTTCACATCGAAAAAGGCATGCGGGATGGTCAGAAGATAGTATTTACAGGCGAGGGCGATCACGAGCCCGAATCTCAACCGGGTGATATCATAATATTGTTGGACGAAAAGGAGCACTCAACGTTTGTACATGCGAACACGGATCTGATGATGAAAATGCCGCTGCAGCTGGTTGAGGCGTTGTGTGGCTTCCAGCGCATCATCAAAACACTTGATGATCGCGATCTGCTTGTGGCAACGCAACCCGGTGAAGTTATTCGACACGAAATGACCAAATGCATTGCCGAGGAAGGTATGCCCATATTCAAGAATCCCATGGAGAAGGGCACTCTTATCATCCAATTTGAAGTTATATTCCCCGATGTGATCAATCCATCAGTTATACCGACGCTTAAGCAGTGCTTGCCACCGGCGCCAGAGATTGACATTCCAGTTGATGCGGAGCATACAGTTTTGGTAAGTCCAAAGACAATTCGAAGGGAATGAAGCAGCATCATTTGTTTATATTTTGTATTTTGTGATTGATTTGCAGGAGGACTTTGATCCCAAGCAACGTCGCCAGGAACACCAGCGCATGGCCTACGATGAGGACGAGGGTGGCTATCAATATGGACCTCGCGTTCAACAGTGCACATCCAGTTAAGCGGCCTACACTTAAAGCAAAATAACTAACACAAAACAAAAGTAAACAAAAACCATAAAACAAAAAATCAAGAAGAAGAAAACAAATGTCTGCATCCAATTCAAGGTGAATCTGGAGAATATCCGCTCGCTCCCGCGTTCCAACTGTAAACCTAAAGCAAATCGTCGATCTGAACTAATTGCTGCCCCTATGGCAATTGGCGCGTAAATATTCCAGCACCTGGCACTCCATCCGCATCGACTGGCATTTGCATTCATTGTAATATCCCAAACTAAAAAACACTCGCAAATAATTAACTGAAATTTACACACATATATACACTAAAAAGTACCCAAATTGAAGAACAAATTTCAAGTTATATATGGCTTAGGATCGGGGAGACGCTCTTCAGACTACGAGATATGCTAATTACGATATTTAGGTATAAAAACAACAAAACAAAACAAAAAATACTTATCAAAAATATTATGCACTACATTTTTAACGCGTGGTTCGAAAAACTATATATAAACATTGTTTTATTCCGTTTATGTTGAGTTGGATATATATGATATATGAGTTGACAATAGGAGCAGCCACCCCCATGAAATACGAAAATATAAATGAAACAAATTTTGAATCAAGTCGCCACTAGAACCGCATATTTAAAGACCGCGAACGATCGCGAACGCGTCTAGGAACAAGTTTAAGTTATTTAATTCCAGCCTAAATAATAAAGCGTTAGTTTAAACGGATATAATAAATAAAATAATTAATACACAATTTCAACTTAAAAATATTTATGCATTATTTCAATGGTACCGCACGATACGAAGCTAACGTCATATCTAAGTCACTTATCTTTCAGTCATTGGCTTTCCCGGAAGTCATATGATTCGTAGGTCTGACATTTGACTAAGAAATTTAAATAATGCAATTAAAGTGAATAAGTAGAACCGCATATTCAACATGTATCCACCTTTAGGCTCGGTAAGACCTATAGAATCATCAAATGCAATCAAAATTCTTAAGCGTTAGAACTTAAAACTACGAATTGGGAGATTTTTGAATCTATCCGAATATTGGACGCAGTTGTCATGAATCAGATTCATTTGGTGTCAATTTTCTAATGACATTTGAAGGGATAACATATAGACGTACGTTTCAGACAGGTATATGACAAATTTAAGAATTGATTTAATTTGTTACCAATTTATTTACAAACATATCGTAAAAAGTAACTTAAAATAATAGACCAAGTTAGCGAGCAAAGTTGCGCAATGCTGCGACGACACCAGTACCGTAGATCAATTTGCTCTCGAGGCGCTCCCAGGCCACTTGCTGAGACTGCCCAACGCTGCGCAGTGATTTTACCAGTTCTGGGGATTCACTTAGGCTAAGGCCATGGGAGCGCAAATAAACGCTTAGATAAGACTGGGCCAATTCAAAGTCTTGATTCGTGCCGAACATGTACTCGATGAGCTTGAGGAACTGCAGCATGGCTAGCCTAGTGCCTCCGGCATCGGGATGTAGTGATTTGATCTCAAAGTCCACCATTGACGGACCCAACTGGGTAATGTGCTGCACAACGGACTCGAAATCCTTGCTTGTGGCCGTTGCTTCCAGCAGCTTGCCAAAGGTGGTCAGATTGTTGAACGAAGAGACCTCGAGCACACGGGAGCCGTTGCTGGTCGTTGACGCATTAGCTACATCAAAGCGCAGTTCTAGGCCCGATACCGTGGGCAGGAAGAAAGGCGCCTGTTTCGGCGCTTTGGGCGGTGCCTTCGGCTTGTTACGCTGCTTGATCAGCTCCAGGTCGAGTAGATTCTGCCAGCGCGATGCCGCCAAACCAGACAGTGTGATGAGCTCGGGCGTTAGCTGTTTGGGCGTCTCATATTTGGCATCAATCTGTTCGCTCAGCTCCACATCATCAACTTCCAGCTCCTGCATGGCATCATCAAGATCCATGGCATCGCAAACATTAGCGGGCAAGCCCACATAAGGTGCCGGCTCATGAGGATCAATAGAACGCAACGAAATCTGATTGAACAGCGTCTTGTTGGCCCACAGGTAAATTCCTAACAAATTGCTATGGGCCGTGGCCAGGAAATCACCATTGGGCGACATGCTCAGCGAGATACAGGGCCGTTCTACTTTGAAGTGATCAATCATATAAGATGAGGGTATATCCCACACCTTTATGGTTGAGTCCATGGACGCTGTAATGAGCCAACGACTGTCCGGACTAAATGTCATATCGTTCAGCTTTGCCGAATGCCCAACAAATCTGCGTATCACCACACGCGTGTCCATATCAACCAAATAGACTTTAAACGTTTCCAGGCCAATGGCGACCATGGAGCTTTCGCGATGGTGCCGCATCAGAGCAACGCCATCCGCTAATCGCAGTACAGCAACTGGCTTCGGAGCTGCGTGAAAAATGGGTGAGGATAATGAATTTAAAGTGGGTTAAGAAGGGGTTGAGCACACTCACTAGTTCCTTTGAATGGCCAGAATTTAACCAGGCCCTGTGAGCAGCCTGAGACCACATACTGGTTCAAATTATCGCAGGCCAGGCCACGCACAGCTGCTTCATGGGCGGGTTGGGAGTCGCCGTAGCTTACGCGATGAAGGCCTGACTGGATGTTAAAGCGCTCCACATCGCCGCTGCTGTAGCCAATGATGACATAGTTGCCGCAATGCGTCGAAGTGATGGATGTGGTCTCCGCTTGGAAATCGATGCGATTCTTGTTGTAAAACTTTTTTGGCACCAGGCGATGGTCTCCCAAGCGGCTCTTGTGGAATGACCAGGTGGTGGTCTGTATAATGCCCGCGTGTATTGCAGCAATGTTGTCCCATTCCTTTTCGCGTGCCACATCCGAAGTGAACTCTAGAATTGGCGGCATGCTGTTCTTGTCGTACTCAAAGCGATCTGTGAAATATAAAATGGATTACGATTTGGCTGCGCAGACAATTCGAGTGCATCATAACGTACTCTTCTTCTTGGTCGCCTTGCTATTGTAGGTGGCTCGGCCCATGCTCTTGTTTAGCGACTCCGATATGGTGGAGAAGACCCGCAGTGTGCTATCCTCACCGGCAGATAAGATAGAGACACCACTGGCGCCATGATAGCGTATGAATAGTGGAGGCTTTGTGTGACCCTCTCGTATGCGTAACTGCCTTGCTCCACCGTCCGACATATCAAACACGAACAATTTCATTGAATTGTCCGGAGATGTGGTGAAGACGACAGGCTCGCTAGGCAAGCAGATGGCAGTTGTTACCTGTTTCTCGTGCGCCTGCAATTGACCTGCCAATTTGCGTTCCTCCAAGTTCCAGAAGGCCAAGTGACCATTGCCGCTGGCGGAAATCATAATGGGTGGGCCATCTGTGCGGAACGACAGCTGGGTGACCACGCCCCATTCCTGCTTGAAGGTAATCAGCACCGTATCAAATTTCAGATTCAAGACAATTATGGTGCCATCGCTATAGCCAACTCCAATCACATCCAATGCTGGCGCCGGCTCAATGGAACTGATTCGTTTCTCATGGTGGCTGAGGGTACATACAATGGTGTTCTTCTTAATGTTCAGAATCTTCAGCTGACCCTGCTGCGAGCCAAGCACAATTTTGTTCACATAGGTGGGCGGATGAGCCAGAGCTGTTATCAAGAACTCATCCTCATTGAAGGGCACATCCAGATAGACATCGTCGGTGGGTATGTTCCACACTTTGAGCACGTTGTTACGATCTACAGCAATTAGGTTTTGGCCAAACGGCAGCAGCAGATGTACATCATGTTTATGTCCCCGATACACATGTCGTATGTGCTTGCCCGCGCGCCACGCGTATATACACTTATTGCTTGCCGTATACGTATGTTGTCTGTCCATGGCCAATGCCGTAATCTCATCTGGATGCAGACCGCTGACATGCAGTAGACGCAAATGGCTGGCTGTGTACACCTGAAAGGAGCGCCCAATGCAGGTTATCAGCAGTGTGTCCCGCCGACGTTGCACATAGCGCGTCACTGCCGGCACCTGGTTGGTCACATAGCCGAGCGCGCGATTCCGACGGAATATCTGACTGCTCTCCTTTATTATTCCGCGTGGTGCTTTCTCCTCTTCTACCGTGCTGTCCTCTGCGCGCAGATGCGTCATTTTATATATTTTCAATTTGTATTGCTTTATATTTTAATGTTCAGCGATTTTCATGTTTACCCGCAACGACTGAGCACGTGTGTTCCAATGTTTCCAAATCTGAAAGCAATGCATTTCAAACTGTAAATCCATGTAATCATAACAGAACAAAACACTTAAGCTGTAGTGCTGTTAATTTAAAAATTGCCGTTAAGATCGGAAATCTAAACTATAAACTGAACTGATTAAATTTTTAAATAAATCTTAATAAATTAATCTGTTTATAATTGATACATTTTAGCCCAAACTCATTTTTTATATTCCACACACTAATTCCCGGTCAATTACTCAACTTGCACTATTACATACCCAATCTGTTACCTGTTAAGCAGCCGTTGCGGCTATCGATAACAAATGATGGCAAACAATCGAAGTGCTCGTTAAACTTAACCGCCTGAATGCCTAGAAACTAAATTGAAAATTATTTTTTTTTATTAATTTTGATTTTATTAAATAACCATATACTTGTAAACATATATACAATAAAAGCTCTTGTGATAATTTTTGTGTATTTTTTAAATTGCATTTTTAATTATATATATTTTTTTTCGATTATATTATATTAAATTGATAATTAGTTAAATTATAAACTACAGATATATATGTATATATATAGTCTTTTGCTTGTTACACACATAAAGTTAATAACAATTTTGATTAAAGCAATAAAAACACTTTGCTATTTTAGCCATTCATCTTGTATTTTATTCAAAACGTTTCATCTTTTTTTTTTGGTTTTTTTTTTTTCAATATATACACTGAAATTTTTACCAGCCCTTAAAAACTTCAGTTAAATTTTGTTTTTTTACAACTTTTACAGCTTATGCAAATAGCAAGAAATCGAGAATTGCGCTATGTGTAGACATCTATGAAACAATTTTAATAAACATTCAGTAAGTAATTTGTTGTTGTTGATGTAGTTATTGTTGTTCTGAAAAGTGCTTCATTTGGTTGAATTGTCATTGAGCTTAGTTAAGCGCATTTAGCGCTATTTCCCGGTTAAAACTTTCACTAGAGCTCGAGAGCGGATAATCCAGCTCAGCTAGACGAGGCACAGGTCGATGCGGACGATTAAACTGCAAGAAAACATATTATGCACAAGTTAATTATTTTATTGATTAGGCTTCAACATACCCAGGATTTCATTATTTTGTACAGGACTTGGCGGGATGGATAGTCGTCGAATTCAGCTTCGGGTGGCTGTTCATTTGGCGCCAGCATCGGCAGCAAGCCATTCGGACGCACAAACTCTTGATCGAGGCCAGCGGCATTGGCATTGGCATTGGCGGCTGCTGCACCGTTGCCGGTTGCACTCAAGGAGCGCTTCCCATGTCCGCCGTAACAGACGTGCCCATAGGCCTGACAGCCCTCTGTGAAATGTAAAATCGTAAAATCAGAAAATGGCAAAATCGCAAAATGAATTAGTCGCCATCTACTTGGCTAGCAGATTGCAAATGCTTCCAGCCACAGCTGTAATCGATATAACGCCCACGCACACACACGCACCATACATGCTCCAGCACACAAACAAAAACCAGTTAGAGTGCTCGACTGGCATATACCCTAAGATTAGCGCATAGATAATGATGTATTTTTCTTTGTTTACGCTAATCTTAGGGCACGAATGCCAGCTCCTAACGAGATTCTATTTATAGGGACAGGTAGATAGAGATACCTAGATCAAGATCAGATTATATAAACATATATTTATATTTATTTTTAAACATATATTTATATGCATATGTATGGTCGTCTTCATATGTCCGCCTTGGTTCAACTGCTATAACTTTACACACGCTCATCATACCCTTTGCACCCACCTGAAATTGGTCTAGGGTATACGAAGTTATTAACTGCGACTAGCTAGTAAAGTTTAAACCGTTTGGGCAATTCCCCAACGTAGGAAGGCCGCAAACTTTGTGCCCTACTGCTAATGCAGCAGTAGCAGACCTTGTGAGTCCCCAATAACTGGGAGATTGGAAATCTTTAATCGCTCGCCAATGCTCTAGAGAGACAATGTTTGATAAGCATTTGACCTTATGCGATATTTTAAACGAAACAATGTTTTTTTTTACTTTCATTTCATTCGTTTTTTGTTTGTCTGCGTTTGTTTTCGTCTGTTGACTCGTCGTTGCTATTTTTGAGTTTCCGCTCGCACACAGCAAAGCAGCTTCACATGGGAGTTTAACCTCTGTTCCTGTCATTTGAACGGAATGTTCCGTTTATTTTTTCGTCTATTGGGATAGCATTAACAACATATTGTTAACACACATTAAATGCCATTTGGCTAATCTAAGACACATTCAATATAAAAGTTTTTAATGGCCAAACAAATGCGTAGGCAAGGCCTACGCGAGAAGTACTTAAATTCGGTTCGAGTAGAGCTAGTTGTAAAAATTTAAATTTACATAATTTTTATTAAATGTAAATATTAAAAATAAAGCTAAGAAATCGTCATTAAAGAGCTGGGAAATAGGTTAGAAAAACAGTAGAAAACAAATGCAAAAACAAATCTATAATTTAAGCTTGTATGCTATAAAGGTAGCTTCAATTATTTTTGAAGGTAATAAACAATTGTTAAATTAATTAAAATAATTATAAAAATGTGTATCTTGTAATTTAAAAATATTATTAATACATTTTTTTGTTCAATATTTTTAAACAAATTTGAAATTGAATCTGGATTTAGACAAACGTGCGAGAGGCATAATTAGATATTTTAATAGTAATCGATGTAAGCTTATTGTGACTCATATATATTTTTAAGGTGTTTATTAACTAATACTAATTTTATATAAATTCAATTTTCCAAATTGTCTAACGTTCTATACCAATATTATTTAGAGTTTCCAGCTGCTGAACATGTGATTTGAAATAAGTTTTTGAGTTAAGTTAATGGAATATTATTTTTTACACTTAAAAAAATAAGGTATCTATTACTTTAGAAGGCTATAAACAGCTATTATATCTATAAAGTTATGAATCTCTACCCAATACTTGATTATTTCTTATTGCATTGAAATATATTGGAAATTCTACTCTCACTTTTGCTAAATTATGAAAATATCTGCGCATAATGAATGAGAGCGCAGAACATGTTGCAGGTGAATGGCAATTGCACTACTAGCTGTCCGTATGCCTTACCGATACCCACCCGCCAATCTTCCACAATTTGATGAGGCGGCAGCTGCATAAACAAAGCCACAAAGGAGCAATATCAACGGCAACGACGATGTCAACGTGAGGACGAAGAAGCTGCTGTTTGTTTTCTGTTAAAGTTAAACTGTAACAATTGCAGCTGCCAGCCATAACCAGAGTGTGGGTGAATGTGTGGACAGGTGTGTGCGTGTGTGTAAGGACTTCCGCCTGTCAGGCATTTATAGGTTTGTTGTTTGCGCTTAAATTCAATGCGTATTGCCATAAGAAGAACTAAAGTGGCAGGTGCCAAGGCGAATACCTTAGCCAATATTTTCAAGGAATCTATAAAGATAAATAATACTCACTTTTAGCCTGGCTCTGTTGGGCGGCCAGAACGACGGTGCAGATGACAACCAGCAGCAGTGAAATTGTGGATTTCATATTAACTACAAAAGAGAGAGCAAGAGGGAGAGATTGTGTGAGAAAGAATAAGAGTGAGACAGAGAGAAAGGCAGAGAGAGAGATAGCAATACAATACAAACATCAATTAAAACACTTAGATTTGGTTAAAGGTGGGTAAGTGGGAGTGACGTGCGCCCACCTGTTGATGCCACTGACAATGGGCTGCAGGGCCTGCGGATATGCCGCACTAATTAGAAACGCACGGCACACAGTCCAAAGCACACACACACACACCGGCACACACCAACACGCACACAGACACAAGTCACATGCATTTACTAAGTAGTTAATCCGGGGCACAAAAACTTTTGAACTTTGATTTATGTTTCACCCACATACAGGCAATTAGTGTGCGTGTGTGTGTGTGTGACAACTTAAGCAAATGTGCGTTTATTACGTGATTTGAATGTCTGACAAAGCCAAGTCATTTAGATTTCGCACGATTTTCATATACGTGTGTGGAAAACCTTTTACAATGAATTTTGAAGCACTCGCCATCAATCATACGACATGTGGGCACAGCAAATATTTCTATTTCTAATATAACTAAGATGCAGCAAGTCGCGTGTCGACGCGTGCTGAAGACTCACCTTAGTTCGCACTGATTAGATGATATTAAAATATATTTATTGAAATTTAATTGCTATATTATATGTTATATATGTATATATTTGGAATATATGTATTTTAATGTGTATATTTGTTGCTTTGGAACTTTGTACGTTTTCATATAATAATCACAGATAAAGTTGGGGTTTTTACAGAATTTCTATTGAATTAATATACGATTCGATTAGTTTTATTGGCAAAACAGCATTCAACTAAGTTAATAGCAGCTGCTAGCGGTATTTCGTTCACGTTTTCACATTTTCAAGCGCTGCCCGGCGACTGCTCAGTCGTTCAGTTGTGGCTTTATAATCCAATTTTTATATATTCATGTATATATATAGCTCGACTCGCTGGCTATTGATAAGGCACAAAATGCGTCGCTTTAATCGCAATTAAAAATCATGTCAGACTTTGCAGACTTGCCAGCTCACAATCTCTCAAGATGGGGTTTATTTTCGAAATGTATTAAATTTAAACATTCACAGCAGATACGTGCGTGTGTGCGTCTGAGTATATATGTGTGTGCAGTAAAAATCAACAGCAACTCCCACCCACGACATGGTGGAAAAACAATAATATTATTGTTATTACTTTGTTTATCAATCTGTCATATGTCAACCAGCAAATGGGACGCGGCAAATGAGGGAGCTGTAGTCGGCGCCTGCCGCCATTGGCTTATCAATTTTCCCAGACTCGATTGTCAGCTAATAACGATTTAATGACCTGCTGCTGCCGCACTGTCAAAAGTACATATAATATCCGTTGCTCTGGCCAATATAAATCAATTTCGACAAAACTTTCCACACACAGGTGCTGAATCAATACATTCGCCTGCCCAGCGCGTTTAGCATCTGCCCAAAGGCAAAGTTCAGCCGCATCGTCGAGGCTTATTGTGTGTTCCGTGTGAAATTTGTCCTAATCAGCAGCTAACTGATAATTTATGCATATATATATATATATATATATATATATATATATATATATATATATATATATATATTTATATAGTATATATTTGTTATTAAGATCCGCGCAGCTTTTAAAAGCGTGCCTTCGGCATGTCGTTACGGTAGCTTAAAGGCCTGCCTTCTAAGCTGCCGCGCATCGCGTTCTATTTAGTTCTGACCGAGCTGATAGGCGAACTAGGAGCAAACTAATCAACGAGCTGATAAGAAAAAATAAAATAAACTCGTTCTCGACATAAAAGATGAGCACGATAAGAAAAACTACAAGCTAGTTAATTATATGCCCTTTCAAACTATTTGCGCTTTTTTTGCTATCAAAGCTTTTGCGGCTTGCAACTCAGAAACTGTACAGACTTACATCGACCTGAAATTGCACTCTATAAACTTAATTGTAAGAGAAATAACTATATACTCTTAAATATCTATTCCTTTTTTAACCCTTAGGTAATACAAAAATGCAGACTTTAGATATAGCACACAGCAAGCCTCAAAAAAAGCAAGTCTAAAATGTAATATTTAAATAGGTAAGGTATTCTGTAGCCCAATAAACTTTACTATTGCTCATAATATTATCATTTTACTCTAACTTTATATTTATTTCTTTCTTATTTTAGCGTCTTCTGTGTTCTGCCGATTTTACTGCTCTTTTTATATTTGTTATGCTCACTCAACAAGTGCTAAAGAGTATATTGGTTTAGTGGCATCATGTCCATTCCACTCATTTAATCATTCTTACTTGTCTTTGATATTTGACTTCATTAATATTGTAATAAAATAACAATTTGATTTTTTTTTCAAATGGAAAATTATTATCCCTAAATAAAATTAACTGACTGTCAGATAACTCATATTTCATGGAATCACATTTCTTTAAAAAAATTTTTATAGTACAAATTTTACTGGTTAGCAATTACCAAAAAAGCTTAAAGCCATTTAAAGACATTTTTTGTATACGCTTAGAATTGAATTTCTTTAAGAGAATGTGACACGCATTTTAATTTGCGAATGTGGGCCGAGCAGATAAATAAAAAGATATGCTGTAGAAGCACTTATTTGTTTTGGTTCTTTAACATATATGTGTATAAGCTATGTAATATATATACTTAAGACTAGCTTTAATTTTCATTTTAAAAAAATGGTTCATGAACTGGGTTTAAGCTAAAGATATTTTGATGACCCAATAGTCACTTTAGAGAGACAATTAAAAAGCTGTAGATACTCTATCAAATTTTTAATGTACTAAGATACTCTTTTAGGAGCTTGTAGATACTTTAACCTGCTTGTCTTATATATGAGAAATCAGATAGCCTTGTGATTTAGTTTCTATAAACTTTGCCAAGATTTGGCAGTACCTGAGAGATCAGCTAGGCATATTCTTAAGACAATTTATTAACTTGGGGCTGAGAAGTCATCTAAGGAAGTCAGTTGGGGATATTCTTGAGATACTTTTGTATGAGTTTCGATTTACTATAACAAGAAATCTCGGGATATTCCTAATATATTTTTATTGCAACTTGTAGATACTTAGGCAAGTTTTAAGTGTACTTGAGAGACCATCTAGGGAACTTTTAATTTATAACTTGTAGATACTTTGACCAGTTTTGATTGAATGAGAGATCTGTTTGAGATTTTATTGTAGATACTTTTGAAAGTTTCGCGTATATCTTAGATATTAACAGATGTTGTTAAGACTCTTCTGAGTACTCTAGCATGTTTTGGGTGTAACTGAGGAATGAGCTGATATACTTAAGATATTTTAAGATCTCATAAAGTCAGTGTTAAGAATCCTTAAATTTCTTAAACTTGAGCTGAATCAACTTAATCTATAAAATTCTATATTTTAGGTTCCTTGAAATTTCTTTATTTTAATAAAAAGCTTAGAAATCGATAAAGTGCAGGAAAATGTTTGCTAGAATCTAGCCAATTCTTGATGCTCATAAAATTACAAAATTACGTTTGCCTTGAACAAATTTACTCTGCCAAGTGCATATGCTTATATATAATATATATACATATATATATATATATATATATATATATATATATACAAAATATAACTCTATACAAAGCAAACAAATTGTAGAGCATAAATCGAGTTAAACTGTTTGCAGCCAGGGCGCAGAGCGGTTGTAGCAAAAGGTACATCAAATTATAGTGAGCTCTTTAGGCACTCGAGTAGTCTTCATTTATGCAGCTGTTCGGCAGAAGCTGTTTGCCTTTTTAGTTGAATGTTGCGTTAAGCAAATGGAGGGCCACGTTTATAAACTTTGAACTTTTGCTGGCGAATGCAGCCCGTGGCGCCTTATAAAAAATTAATCAAAGCTGCCAGGCTGGAGAAGTTAAGCGCTGCAGCAGCAGCCAACAAGTAACATCAAATGCCCACTAATCTAATTTGAATCAATTAAGATTGAACAAATAAACATGCCCACAAAATATGACCAAGGGGTCAATTCAAATTTGTGTGCGTGAGTTGTGAAGATTCCTCTGGCACTTTAAGGCTTAAAATTAGGAGTAATACGAGAAGCAAGCGAAATATAAATTATAAATTATATATATAAATATATAAATATATATTTGTGTTTTATCTAATTTTATAATATATTTTAAATATTAACATTTATTTTTTACGTATATATATATACATTTTTTACAATTATACTTACGAGTTTTTTTAGTTATTTTTACTTTTAACTTTTGAGTACAAAGTTGTACTTCACACAAAATCTATTTTTCTACTAACACAGAGTTGCCAACTAGTTTTATTTTCGATTTAATTAATTTGCAATCTGACTGGCTTGCAAAAGAATTATTAACAGTTAATTTTTGACTCTTTTGTTCTTGGTTTTAGCGCGTTTCTTGGTGTTGATGTCGCTCGACTGAAAGCCAAAATTCGTTTGATGCCGTTAGGAGCAAGCGGCTCTGCTTTATACCGCAGGACGAGTACCAAGTCTGTGTGCGTGTGCGTGAGTGTGGGTGTAGCTGTAGCTGTGTCGCAGCCAATCAGATGCGCGCGCTTAGCCGAATGACACACGAAGCGTTGCCAACCGCCGCCTGGCTGTATGCAATGGCTTTTGGGCCACTGGCTTTGCGTGGGCGCTGCAACAATTTGAACGCCCAAAAATAAAATCTAATGCCACAGGCATGCCCCGTGATAGGGACTAAAGAGCAGCCGCGTTGCGTCTATGTCAAATTAGAAATGTGCACAGATTTATATATATATTTATGTGATAGATATATGATATATATATATACATGAATGACGTCTACGCCGCGGTCAACTGTCTTAAGTTTGCTCTGCTGCTGCTGAGTGGGTTGTCTTCATATTAATTAAATTGAATCGCCTTTGATTCACTTTACATTTACAGCAACCTTTCAATGCATGCCTATATTCATATATATATATATATTAGTTAGTTTGACTTGTTTACAACAATTATTTTCAATTGTTGCTAAAGCCAAACAGCTTATCGCATCTAGAAAAATTACGTCGATAAGCAGCTGTTGCCGTTGTTGTAGGTGTTGCCCCCAAACACAACGCAGATCAAAATATTTGACATCAAACAGTAGCTGCTGCTACGCCCCTGCATATATAGCTCTATCAATTTCCAAACTATCTACACATATAAAATGCCTTATTGTGCATTTCCGTAGGGCTGCCTCAGTTGCTAATAAACAAATCTAAGCGAATATTAATTATATACATACATATTTATTGGGTACAGGAGCACGTCATAATAATTTGACATTATTTGATTCTGAGTTTCTCCATAACTCGAGAGATAACTGAGCCCTCGATCATAACGATCGAGCAATATTCTAGAAATCTTTCTGTGAATGCTTTCGCAACAGGAACAAATTTAAAAACCATTTACAAAACACTCATAATTAAAAGAAATTCTAAAAAAAAAACTAAAACTAAATAATATTCATAAAATTAATTGATATTTCATAGAAATTCAAAAAATCGAAGAAAATAGCCAAGACTGATATAAAAATAATAATCATAATAAGAAATGCTGGAATTACAATATTATTTTAGAATATCAACCTTACTTTCGTCTAACTTCGATGTGGCTTGGAACATTCATAACTTCCAAAGGTTATCAATATATATTTTACTTTAAATAAGTCTCCACTTTCATATACACATACAAATTTTAAGGCCACAATTTTTATAGATAAACCAAAAGACAAACGATATTATAAATACGTCAATCATAGAATTGTTAAAACAACACTTTTATTTACTTTTACTACTCTGAAACTAGCTAAACAAAGTCAAAGTCTACTGTAAAATACATAAATCTTTAACTCTCTAAAGCCCCAATTTTATTTAAACATTTTCTTTTTGTTAGCTTTTGCATAAATGCTGGAGCTCGATGTGGACGGATTGTAATTAAGTTTGGATATAAAATAATAAAGAAATATACAAATTGTAGAGATTCAAATTAGATATTTATGCCAGGCACTTAATTGAGCAGCTGACGAATGAACCAGATGCCCAAGATGGCGCTCAGAAGGGAGCCGGCGCTAACGAGACCCATGGCGCCGTTGTGCTGGGCACAGATGCGCGGCTGAGGCGCCGAGACGTATTTGCAAAGAGTGCCGACAAAGTTGACCTGGGCGCGCTCGTTGACTTGCTTGTCGAATTGCTGTGAAAGATCAAACGAGCAGCATTTTAGTTGCTAATAGGATTAGGACGCTTATGGCTGGCTAGCTGGGACCTACCTCATTGAACAGAATGGTGGGCACACTGGTCAGTGGCTCCTTTAGCCTCTGCGTGGTTTCGCCAGCCTTGCGCAGCAGAATGCTGCCATCGGTGGTGTTTGCACAGGTCTTGATATTCTCCCAGTTGTTGACATGATTCTCCGTAGCACAACGTTGGCCCGGATACACATTATCGGGGAAATTCTTGCCGGCCCTCATCAGGCAGTTGATAAAGTCCATCGTTAGCGATTCGCGTGTGTATTCCACTTGATAGGAATTGGCCTGAATGTGCTCAATGGCGCAAGCATGCACCTTGTTGCCGTAGCATTCGTTGGGGCCGTGATGGCAGGTAAAGGTCACCTCCGCGCCTTGTGTGAAGAACTGCATGGCAAATGAGAGGTTTCAGTTAGTTAGTATGGCAGTGCGACAAATGAGGCATTGTTGCATTGACTCACCTGGGACTTGCCAAAGGGCACAAATGTCAGCTCGACCGAATCACGCAGCTCGCTCTTCATCGCCGGATACAGTTGCTCCGTAATAAACTTGGCGCTGTCCGGGCACAGGGATTCATAATAGACGGCAACGGGCACCTGTCATACAAAACAAAACAAGTTCAATCTCTGTCATGTGAGTCAGGTGTGTATAAGGCTTCATAATGTGCTGCTCACATTGTGTGCCTGGCAATTTGCATTTTTACTGCAAATGCAAATCAATTGCGATTGAGTGCACACAGCCAAAAATTCAATACTGTGACCCGAGCAAAGACAAACAATGGGTTCAGGGAGAGTATGAGCAAAATATCTGAGCTTCATTTGCTCGCTGTGAACAAATATAAGTACATTTCAAAATATCTAAGCGCTGCAAATATAGTCAATATATTTTCAATAGAACGCGTTAGATTAATTTACTTTAACTATTCTCAACAAAACTTCATTCAAGCTCAGCTTTAATTTATGCGATTTGTCAAGCGCAGCTAACTTAACAGGTGTATAATATAATAGTGTTGCCGGATATATATATATATATATATATATATATATATATATATATATATATACATATATATATATATATATATGTATCCATATATCTATATATATATATATATATATATATATATATATATATATATATATATATATATATATATATACATAAAGAGTGGGGAGTTTTTAGAAGAGTAACAAATAATTAAGCATTAGCCCAATTTATATATATGTGTAGATATCTAAAAAAAGTTTCTTTATGGCATTCCAAAAATGATTGTTAATTATATTTTTCAGGTTATTACCAATATATTGTCAACATTTGACTTTTTATCTTTACTTAAAATATTGTTTTAAAAAAGTATCCATATGTTATTTAAATTTATTGCAATTGCAGTTGTTTTTTTTTTTTTTTTTTTTTTTTTTTGATTAAAATAAATGTGTAAGTAAGCATTCACATATAATTTACATATATTCTATTATTTTCGTGAACGTCATAACTCTAAAGCTTGCATTTTTGCGTGATGCAAATTGCAAACTGTCGTGACTAAGTCGACAAATGATGCGCATTAAATAAAAAGTTGACTTAAAAATGCCAGCGTAGCCGCGCACACACACATACATAGATATTACTCTGTAGTCAGCAATCGCAATTTGCTTATAATTCTTTTGTTTTCTATTTTTGCCAAACAGAAGTTCGTATAAATGGCTTAGTCAACGCTGTCTGTACTGGAAGAACATCTGTAGAACTGTCAAATGTTCCATTCTTGCGAGCAGCAATAATAACAACAATTTGGCCTGGAAAGGGGCTTCCAAGAGTGGCCGGCGGCCAGGCAGTCAGGCAGCACCGGTTCCCACATGCACCACACACGCACACGCACACAATACACAGGCATATACAATGAAATGGAACCGGTTTGGGGTACCAAAACAAAAACAGCGCGTCGTTGTCGACAGCCAGCAGAGAAAACTGAATTTATACAATTATTTATGCATATATATATGTAACGCATACATACGCAAGCATGTGAATTAAATGTTTTCCAGCTGCAGCATTTTCCAACATCAGTTCATTCAACCCAATTTTATAGGGCGCGCCACTTGTTGCTGCATTTGAAAGCGGCGCGAGGCTGCTTCTGCCGACCCTGACCCAATACATTATTTTTTTAAAATCGCGAATTTCATTGCATGCATTTTAATTTTATATTACAAAGGCTTTGCTGTGATTATGTAAGACTTACCTTTGCGCCACTGCACACAGAAACAGCCAGGCAGGCCAATAGTATAAGTTTGTGACTCATGTTTCTTGATTTTTTGTCGTTTTCCTACGGCTGTTTTATGCTATGTTGACACGAACACAATTAAAGCGCTAGTTGTTGTGAACGTGCTAACGTCTAAGCGTGAACTGTTTCATCGCTTCGACTCTTGGTTTGGGCAGCAACAGCAGCGGCTCCACTGCTTTCCAGTTTGAGCGCGAGAGCGAGCGCTCACATGCATACGTAATTAGAGTTGGGCTTGGTCCTATAGACTTATATGTATATACACACATGCATATCTGTACATGCATATTATAGTTCACAGATCGTGCGCTGCAAATGCTAAGGCTCAAGCTTAGCAGCAGCGCATTATAAAAGCACCGTAATTCAATTAGAGAAGAGCTTTGCGTCTCTTTTATGTTAAAGAACAGCTGCACTCGCGCTCTCAGTGGAAAATGCTTATTAGCGCAGCACAGCTAATTGGATCGTGTTGGGCTCAATTCGAATGGGAATTGAATTCATGTATTGAAATCATGTTGTTTGCAAATCTCAGAGGTAAAAAGTTTCATTTACACACCAAATTTCTCTTTATGTTTAATGGAATTACAAATTATAATAAATGTTTTTAACTATGTATGTACATGCAAAAGTCTGTCTAATTAAAAGCATTTTCTGTGGCATCAGTCGCGAAACTTAAATCCCTTTGCAATCAAATCTTTACGTGCCTCCAATATCTCCGCTTGCAATTCCTTTGCAGCCTCGGGACAGTCGTTAAATGTGAAAGTGCGATACAACACAGTCCAAGCGGAATATATCTAAAGGTAAATAACATTGGTTTAACGTCAATCATAGCTAGAACTCTCTTAGAATCTTACACCAAATAGAATTAACAGCAGCAGCGGAAGGAGTTGAATGTGTAGCAAATATTTGGTTGTAAATGCTGTTTGAACTGTCCCCATTACAATGGCCAAATAAGGTACCGCGAACAGCGTTGCATAGAATAGCCAGCGCTGTAGATTTGTCATCTTCAATGTTAATTACTTTGCAAATACAGAAATTCTAAAAAATAAGACTTCTAATACAACACGTAAACAAGCTGCCGGCCTAGTGATGGCCGATAAGTCGATAGCAGCGTAATCGTTATTCGTTCCTTTCTTGTGCACAAACAGCTGATTGCGTATCATAACAAGCAGCTTATGCTCGCAAGCAAAAGTACGGTGCATTTTCAAACTAAAGTTTTAATCAAAAAGTAATTTTATTAAGCTTAAAACTAATACACATTTTTAAAGGTAATTATAATTGCGCGGCACCCACTGTACATGGTCTATTGGCCAGCAAATCAGCTGTACGGCAGCCAACAATTTGAAACTTAATCTCGTTCTCTTTCAAGGAGCCGCCTACAAAGAGATTCGGTTCACTACTCAGCGCCCATAGTTCACTCTCGCCCTTTGAGTTTAAATTGATTTTTAAGCCAGTCACAAATTTCAGCTGTTGTGGGTTGTAGGCCACGGCGCGTATATCATCTGCAGTGTAATTGGAATGTTCGCTCCAACTGATCAAAGCACCTAGACTGATAAGACTGCAGTAGAGATTGCCGCCACTGTCCATGACCTCCGATTCGCATTGAGTGCCACGCGTGCCAAGAACGCGAAAATGTGTGCTGACCACCTTGCTCGAAGCCTGCTGCCAGATACTCGCATTGTTGACCACGTGCAAGGGAATAGCTATCTCATAGAAGCTATTCAGCGTGTGGAAGTACAAAAAGCGCTCTGAAATCAAAAGGAAGAATCTTGATATACTTTACATATACTTTCAAGGTGATATGAATGAAACACAACCTGTAGCTTGACTTGGACTCAGACTGACTGTAAAGATACCAGCATGGGCGTTGCCAAATCGACGCACACCCAAGGACGGCTGCATGGAATCGTGTTCAATGCGCCAGGATTTGTCAGTGAGGGCATCAAAAACAATTAAGCCATAGCCCCAGGCATCAGCTATGTAAGCTCTGCCACCCAAACACTTGCTCTCAGCAAGATCCACGACCAAAGCCGTAAAAATCGATACACTAGGCGTATACATGTGTGGAGGCAGCGTGGAACGCTGCACCAGATCATCCTTGACTAGGTCGAATATCAAGATTTGTGGAGCACACAACTGCAAAGAATTGACTTGTCCCGAATCCACTACCCAAAGGCGCCAACACTCATCAATCTGCAGGCAAAAGAAAATTTTAGATTGGTCTAAACTAAGCATGGAGCATAAACTCACATAAGTTCTGATAGCCGAAGTGATGCCCGAGCAGTTGCTAGTTGATTGATGCCACTCCAGGCTGGGATAGGGCTCCAGGCGGGGATTCTCGAGCAGTTTATTATCAGCCGCTGTCACCGTAGCCAGTGTAAATGGTGTGCCAGTGCTCAAACGTGGTATGGTCAGAAATGTTCGATGACGTCCCTCGTCTCCGTACTCAATGTCCAAATCGACGGGCAGGAAATGGCTAATGCTCGCCTGATCCGGTCCTAAGCTAAGATTGCTCCACTTGTGAAGCGTGTGCAGCTCCTTAATGCGTAACTGTTGTGCACTTGAAGTGGTCATGACCAGCCCCAGTGCCAACAGGACAAAGTTGACACGAAACATTTGAGAACCTCGCAAACCAAAATTAAAATCTCGTCTTAGCTGTTCAGGCGATGATTTAACACTGAGATGCAGCTGCAGGTAGGGCCCATGTTGGCCTGGCTAGTGTTAACAAACCCTAAAGGGGCAAGACAGTCGAGAGCCCTAGCCCAGGTACACACACAACAGTTTATTGCCGTTAAATACTTCTGAGATTTATGGACACCTTTTCTCTTTCTATTTACATAGACTCATAGAACACACACTCTTCATGCCACCTGCATCCAGCCTCCTGGCCTCGCAGCATGTTAATTGATCTCTCTCTCTTGCTCACTCACTCGTTCGCAGTCTGCCGGAAAATGCTGTCAACCCGCAATTTGAGTGTAGGCTAAACTGAATACAGCTCACGGCTCACAGCTTCTGAGCCAACACTCCAAAGTCATCAAAGCCAAACCGGCTGCAGTTGGTCGCTCTTCGGGAATTTGGGATCGTCAGTGAACTTGCTTTTCCACGCGCCGATATTTGGTTTGCAGTCACATAATGTTTATATTTATGTATCAGCGTGTTTAATGTCATGTCTTTATGCTATTTACATTCCATTTTGCATAGAGTACTCTGATCGTTATATACCCTGTAATCAGTGAAAGTGGCTAAAATAGATGTACTAGCAAGAACCAGACGGAGAGAGTCAGGCATAGGCAGCTTCAGCTTGAACCATAGTTAAAAAATTCTATAGTTAAAAAATTCGAATTATATTTTCAAAATATTTGTAAAATAAAATAATAAAAAAGCTAGATAAATAGCTAAATAAAAATTAAATACTTAACGTTTTAGCTATTCAGAAATTTGATTATTATGCTTTCACATGTGATATTGAGTGTAGAGGGTATACACTAGTAGAATACCCTAGGTTTAGGAAATCTAAATTATTTTCTTTGATGTTTACAGCTCAAGCTACAAGTGCTTTAAAAAGAAATTTAACGAATTTGAATGGACTTTAAGCTATGCACAGAAAGTTGACTTTGCACGACTCGCATCTGAATGCACACAATTCTCAACCAGTTTAGGCTTGAAGAGAGCGGAAGTTGTCCAAATCAATTAACCAATTTGGTCGTCTTGCAGCAACGTTTAGGAATTTCTTGTCATTAAACATGGCAGGCACACTTTTGGAATCCACTAAAAATATGGCCCTGTCGATCAATCAATTTCTGAATCGGCGGCATTTTTTGCACTTATTTTGTATCAATTAAGTCTAGCTAAAGACCAAATGAAACTTAAGTTCAGATTAGCCAAGCAGAACGCAGCCATAAGCGAGAAATCGACTCAAAGAGTTGCCCAAGACAAAAACAAAAATAAAAGCAAACAATTTTATTTGAGAACTGGTTAAGCCGTCGTTTTATGGCTCATTAAAGTCGGCTTTAAGAGCGGCAGAGTTCAACTTGTCTGAAAATATAATTTAATTATGTAATTAAAAATTTGTTTAGTCAATTTATTATGACTTCAGCTGCCAGCTGCAATTTGGCTAGTCAGACAATGTATCAACAACAAAATTGAGAGGGCTTTAAATAGTTGAATTATTGGCAGTTACAAAAAGTATTAAATGCCACATTCGTATTTGGCTAATAAACTTTTTTGGCATTTTAAACAAACTACAAATCTATACTGAAATTGATTTTTTGTATAAAACATTTTACAACATTCTATTAACTGATTTAATTTATTCCACATTTAGCTCGATAAGCTTCAAAAGAAACTGCAATAAATGGTATACTACCTTGAAAGGTGTTAATTTTTATGAAAAATGTGAAACTCGCCTTAAGTAAATTTGTAGAAAAATATTTTAGGAAAAGTTTTCATCAAATTAATTTAATTTATTAATTTTTTTTTTAATAAAATAAGAAGTTTGATTTAAAGTTAATTCTTGGAAAGCTTTTTGAAAGTTATTTTCTGGCTAATTTATATATATATATATTATATTATTTATATATATTATATATTATAAACTTTCAAATTATGTAATATATAATATATTTTTTTAAATTGTCACTTAAAACTGTTACTCTGAAGTATATTTACAGCTTTTACAGAGGTATTTCACGCCGAGCCAAACTGAACAGCGCCAACCAATGGTATTTCAAGAATTTTTCCTTTTATTCGATTAATGACAACTTCAATATTTATTTATATTTATATGTATATTTGTTCAGTGACATGAAGAGGACATGTTTTTGGACTAAAAACCAATAGTTATATAAAATCATAAAATATTTACAAGTGAAATAAACAGAGAGGGGAAAAGAGAAAATAAATTAAACAAAATATTTACACAAATACAAAAAATAAGAAAATAAAATAGAAAATCATATTTTTAAGGATAGTAGAAGCCACTGTGACGTTGGTTTTGTGGGTAGCTCGTGGGCGCTGTTGCAGGCGTGGTCACGGGGCTGCTCACCAGGGTGTCCAGATAGGAACGCTGATAGTTATCACGTGTCGCCTTGGTGGGCGGGAAGGCCTCGCCCTGATTGAGGGCTGTGAATGGATTGCGTAGTCCATAGTTGACAAATCCCGCGGTCTCGAACTTGTACGGCGACTTGGTGGTCAGTGGCGTGCTTAAAGCCGGGCTTGTAAAGTACGTTTGCAGTGCATTCGCGTTCACCTGTGAGTGCACATGAATGTTCGTGTGTGGATGCGTATTGTATAGGCTATAGTGCAGCAAGCTATTGTGAGCTGGGGCTGTGGTCAGCGGCAGTGAGTGCCCTAACAGAGGACTCTTGTGAGGTTGACCCTTGGGCTGTGGCAGTTCGATACGTAAAATGCGATTATTATACTCATTCGGATTGAGATTCTTAAGGAAGAAACGATGGAACTTGGAGGATATAGCATAAACGACGCCCGGTTCTGAACGTGTGGTGGTGATGTCCGCCACAAACTGCAGCTGATCGACATCATGCGCCAGCACAGATTGCTGATTGGTAGCTGGATTCCAGGAGGCAATGGCCGTCTCACTGAGCGGACTAAAGATTAAGCTGCCATCGTAAGGGGACACTGCTAAGCCAATGCCCTGCGATGACTTCTTGCCCACCAGTTTCACGTCAAGCATTTGGCCATTTGGCAGCGGTCCACTGCGCAGCACGTCCTTGTGCACCGAGAAGACGCTAGCAGAGATGAACGCTCAGTGTTAGTCGCTACAAATTATATTGATATACACACCGATCTGTGGCCAGTGGCTGGAAGTAAATAATGCCCTTTTTCTCATCAAATGTCAAGCCCACAATGCCATCCATTAGCACAAAGCGATCGTTGAGTATCTCGGATTGAGCGAAGTCCGGATCAGGATACATGGCTACGATTGACATTATATATAATACGTCACGAATATTGATTTTGAGTAATACCTGGATGTGAGACGCGCCAGGTAACATCCTTGCCGCTGTCATACACAATAATGCCCGGCTCTACGGTATCCGTAATATAGATGAACACATCGTCGCAGGACGTGGCCGTCGTCTCATCGATAACCATGTTGGTGAAGAGGGTCTCACCGCGCAGCACTTCTGGCGGGAAGTCAATGCGACGCACCACACGATCCGTGTTCAGGTCGACAACAAGTATCTTGGGCGGACAGGTGGATTCGTAGTCCTCCAGAGAACGGGAGATGCCCGCATCAAGCATCCACAGGCGATTGCAGGAGTCGATGCGCAGTCGATAAACCGAAGTCAGAATCAAGTCACTGCAATTGAAGTTCGTGCGCGCTGTATTGGAGAAGGACCAGTCGGGGAAAGACTGCAGCGTGGGTGAGTCGCCAATTTTGTCCTTTGGCACCCAGCTGACCGTCGACGAGACGCCCGAAAATAATTTCGGAGTGGCCACAAATATGCGATCAGCTGTGACGGCAATGCCCGTGACGAGCACATTTTCGGGATTATAAAAGTTCGTATCGCCGGCACGCGAGGGTGACGCAAAGTTGTAGCGTAGCAGCTTCCACTGCTTCATCACCTGTAGCCCAGGTGAATGGGCATTAACAGGCAGCTGACAGAGCAGCCAGCAGAGGGCAGTGCCGAGCAAAAGGCGCTGCATGACGAGGCCCAGCTAAAAGAGTGTGGAATAAAATAAGCAGTAACATTTATATAAATGGAAATTATTAGCCATAAACAATCCCAAATCGTGCGAATTGAATACAGTTGCATTTCAATTAATTGTATCTTATCTTTGCCAATAAGCAAGCTCAATGATTCACGCTGGAAATATCCATAATTCATTTAAACAAAAAATCGTTTATTTAAACACACACTAATATCTATGTTAATAGTTAATACACTGAGCAAAAACAGGGATTTTCCAATCATTCAAGCCCAAAATCAATTACCATTAAATATAGTCGAATAAAATTTAATTTTTTAATTTATGTCAATATTTTATAAGCTTTTTATCGAGCGTTTTCAATTAAAACGTGCTTTCTTAGCAGCTGATAAATTTTTTGTTTGAGAGAATTTATTAAAGCTAGTTTTTTCTATAAAAGAATATTTATTTCTATAATTAGTTTAATAATTTTCTTGCTAAATCTGTTACCTGTTTAAAAATACAAACAAGTAAGAGTGTTCTTGCGGGGAGTGTCTGACTATGAGATACTCTGAAGCCTGCGCTGTCTTTTTATTACAAATTATTCCTATGAGAATTCTAAGCAAGCATACCAATTTGATAGTATATCATAGAATCCAATTAAATGTTAATTAATGCTAAACTAATGCTAATTTCAATTATAAACCTTATAAATACATGAAAGTATATTTTACTGGATTACTATATTGTATATATAAATCAATTTTTATATGCAATGTCATTTTCTTGCCCTTTGTTAAGAGATTTTTACTTATATATTATATATGGAGCCAATTGCGGCGATTGCAGATTACAATTGAAGTTGTCAAGACATTGTATTCAAATGAGGCTTGTCTATTGCTTAGCCTTGTTAATAGCTGGTCTCGCATGTGCAGCTGTGATTGCGATCAAGACGGAGCTCTATGATTAAGATTGAACAGTTGTTGCTGAGGCGAAATATATATATAAGAGACACACGCACACGAATACAATGCTCTATTTGATATGGATATGAGATTTGCTGCGAGGGCTGGCATTTATGTTGTAGTGCTTGTGGGTTAACTGAGATATTTACTCTAACATGCTTACATATCAAAAGACAAGAACCATATATGGAGAGACCTCCAAGAAATCCTGCAGTGCTTGACAGCAATAGTTGCTTGCATTTATTTGAACAGTTTTTTGTATTGGTCAAGTGTAACAACAATTGCTAGATGTCACATATTGATTGATGTACTTTTGACTACATAAATCAGTGCAATTTTTGTAAAGACTAAGTGTATAAAATTTCTAAGAAGTTTGATTAAAATTATTTTCATAGGGGCATAAAGCCTTTTTAATTGAATAATAAAGTTCCCTATATTTTGCGAGCTAGACATTTATAGATTATTTAGAAGTATACACAATTAAGCTAAAGACGGGTTTGGGTATCCAAATTAAGCCTTTAAAATATAAGAAAATTTTTTTTATGTATTCATATGCAGATCCATTTGGATTAGCTGCCAAGCAGCTAGCTCTGTTAGCACTGTTAGCTTTTACAAACTAAAAATTTGTATAAACAAACAAAACAAAGCAGCCAGAAAATGAGAAGAAATCTAAAACTCTTCTTTTCCAAATATATAAAGCAACAAAACTCTACGGTAGCATAAGTACAGCCAGCAAATCACCAGATCATTAGCTATACTCAATAACTCAATTTTCCAATTTACAAGCTCACACGCGACATTTATAGGCTTTTCGCCTAGGCAACACTTGAGGGCCATTAAAAGTGTGGTGTCGACCCTCGTGCATAACGTGCATAGCATGCGCAAGAGCCGACTATAAATTCAGCTGACAGTTCGTTTTGCTAGACACTCTTCGACTAGGCAGCCAAAATAAATGGGAGGCTTTATCGAATTGACAAAGTAAATTTTATTTTTCGTTTTACTTAATCAATTATATATGATTTATGTCTAACTGTTGTCGTCTAGCCCGCACACACGCACACATGCGCGTAATTTTTTGGAAATTTTTCTATTTGTCACTTTCTTTCTGGTAATTGCGCTACGCCTGGCTCGATCTGAAGATAAGCTAACTGAAACTAGTTTAAATGTGTCGCGTACGAAATTTTGATAAATTATGTAAAACTGTCAAGAGCTAAAAAAAAAGTTTCTACACATATTTGATATAATTAAGAATTATGCAATGCAAAGCGGAAATGCGAGCAATTTCATGTTTTATGTTAAGAGTTAAATAAAACCAAAAAAAAAACAAAAATTGTAAATAAAATAAAGCTCATAATAATAACTGTCGCGTCTGACATTGGCCAGCAAATTAGGCCTGCTGTCAAGTTGGCCTTCAATGGCTTACTTTTGATGACAGCCGTTAACCGGGCCGCAAGATAATGCCGTAAAAGCGAAAGGGCTTATAATGAGCACAGCCACTGCTGACTGCTGCTGTCTCCTCTTCTACAACAATAAATGGCATAATTTATACGTTGCATGCCTTAGCTTTACATTTGATATTTGTAAATTGTTTGATAGTTTAATAGTTACAGAAATAAAATAAAATATCGCAAGCTTGTTTGCTGAAATCGTAACCGGCATTCGTTATAGTTATAATCTTGTATAAGCCAGCCCGCAAAGGCCAGCAGGGAGAGAGAGGGATCACATATTGCATTTATACTTTCAATAATACATATAAAACTTTTTACTTTAGTGCCGGAACTCTCAACACATCTGATAAATAAGCTATATACATATGTGAATGTGTATATAGTTATTTAATGGCTTACACCCAGAAATAATATTTAAGGCTTATTCCCGAGCGTATTAAAATACTTGTTAGCCAAACACACACAGCGAGACCAATTGAGTTCAACTATTTCTTGCAGCACTTGCCAGCAGACAGCTAACTAGAGTTGATCTCTCTCCCTCCCTCGCTCTCCCTCTCTCTCTCTCTCTCTCTCTCTCTTTCCCTCTCTCTTGTCTTATCTGTACACATTCTCACGCATTGCACAATGGCGAGACATGCAGACAATGTGGCAAAATGTTTAATTGCTGCAACTGGAGCATTCTATATATATAGCGCCATGTGAGAACATAAATATGGTTCACTTTATTTTTTCTTTTTTTAATTAAGTTTGAAATTTGATCTAATTAAGGGTCGCACGGAAGCGCAGTCGTTGCCAAATTAGCACGTGATTGCAATGAAAATTGCGGGCCACTGGGGCCAAACGTGATGAAGCTCAGCTTTATTGCTTCCTCATAATGAGAGAAGAGCCATAAATGTAAACGGTAGTCTTATGGTGTATATAACTGTGCACATAAAACACTGTATATAGCTCGTAGATATATATTTATATATCAATGGATGAAAGCTTTTGATGAAAAACTCAATTTAGAGCTCATCTCTGCTTTTAGCTGATCTAGCAATCTGAAATATGAGATATTTATTCTGTATTGTAGTAAGCTGAGCGTTTTAATTTTCTGTATAATATACATAAATTTATCATCTTCAAGCCGGTCGCTAACTTAGATCTCAGTTTAAACATTTCGTCTAATAAACATTGCTATTATTAACTAATTAACTATTATTTTCTTAGAGCTGCATCTTTCTCAAGAGATCTGAAATTGTCAATCAAAATAATGTATGAGCAGATTCATTAGGTTTCTGTGAACTGGTTTGTGTTTATAGAATCAAATATAACCAGTTTGCCATACTAAAAATATTAATTATCAATTTATTAAAACTTTAGTTAATATTATCACTTATATTAAATGTTCCATGCCCGCTGATATGATAGTCATCGAAACCAGTTTAGCCAGATAGCATTCAAAATTAAAGACTTTTTTCATAATACAAGAGATGGGCAAATTGACTTTATAGAGTGAACAAGTTGTTTTGATTGAGAATATATATATATATTGTTACGAAACTTGGCTATAACTTTATATGTGAACCGTTATTCCCTATAAGAAATTAAGTATATCTATTTATAGTCTGATACAACTATTGCACACATAGAAAGGTATAGCCACATTTGGATGCCAACACGATCTCGATTCACACTTGGCGATCGGGGCGATCGATTGGCAAAAGCTAAAACAAACAACACGCGTTGCTGGCCAAGTTAATTAATAGAGTTCTTTTTGTTTTGGCCACGCAAGAAGTGCAGCAACAAGTCAACAAACACGGCAGCCGGCGCGCACTTTTTTGCCAATTGCTAAACAAGGCTATTGGCCAACTGTATACCCTTGGCTATGGATAGCTTAATTGCATATACGTAGCTATTTAGAAATATACATATATATATATTTGTTGCAATCGATATTTGTGGTTGTTGTAGAATGCAATACGGATATGGTGAGAGTCGCTGGGACACTGGTCGGAGTGAGTCGCACACTGTAGCAATTTCGATTCAAATCCACAAAATACCGCACTGCACTTTAACACAGAGACGCATGCCAATTGCCACTTTAACCGTTGAAAACCGTGCCCCGTGCCATAGCAGACAAATGCATTCGCGTTCGTTGCCTAAGTCTTTTGTTTTGCTGGCCAATTTGTTAGCGGTTAGCGGTTAGCGTTTTAGCGTTTAGAGGTTTTCCCTGGCGTTAGCTTACTTTGTGGCACATTCAGCGCGCTATTCGAATTGGCTTTATTTTATCTTGCTGCTCGCGACACGTCCAAGCGTTGCGGTTGCTGTTTTGCGACTGCGCTCCTATCACAAGCGCACCGAATTTTATAAGAGCTTTTTTCTTTTTAAATCACAAATATCAAATAGCAAAGCTGCATGCTGAGGTGTTGCAGCTGAGATATACCCTGTAGGGTATACTATATGCAGCGTTGCTAGTAAAGTTAGAAGGGGGAAGCGAGCTTAATTAAGCATTTATTATTTTATATAGATGTTTGTTTTTAGCTGGAAATTGCAGTTTGCTAATGGAAAATAAATTAATAAATTAGTTAAACTATAAAAACTTTAAATATGTAATTCATTATGTAAATATATATGAGCGAATTTATTTTAATTTTTCTAATGGGAAAAAAATGCAAATTGTTAATTGACTTAATTATTAAAACTTATTGTATTGATATATATAAATGTGAATTTATTTAAATTAGAATGATTTTTTAAAATTTGTTTCGACATTCCTCTATTATTTCCTATAAATATAACAAATAAATTAATTGAAAGTTATATATAAATAATTATTTATTTAATATTCAATGTTGCGGGAATCTGAAAAAACTTTGAATAAAAATAATGAAATTTGGGTGATTAATTAATTAATCGTTTAATTGAATTTTTATTATTTTTCATTGAATTAAGTTTTTGTTTTGCATTTGCCATGAAAAAGAAAAATTTCAAGTTCAACTTTTAGATGGGAATTAATTTGATAATTTAATTTGATTTCACGTCAAGTCTGGGCTATGGCAGACGTTTTCTTTTATAAAATATATGTAACAAAATATTATTGATTTGATATAAAGGTTTTTAATTCACAAAGAAAGCATTGTTGTCTCGGTGGCTAAAAATTTGAAAGCAGGCGAGTCTACAGAGGCAAGCTGGTGTTGGTAAAAGTGCTAAAAAGTTTAAATTAAGCCCATTAAAAGCTTGACACAGTTATATATTTATCTGGCAGTCAGAGAGCGATAGTTAAGTAGCAAACTTTGACAAGAACTTTTGTGAAGAGAAAGTGGAAAATTAGGGCTTGACTTTCCCATTGCTTATTCTATATGCCCATTGCTTGGCCTCCTCACAGGGTATATTAAGATAAACGGCGAGAAAATGTCGGGCGCCATAAAAACCGCCTCAACTTCAAGTTGCAGTGGCAATTCCGTGCTCTTATATTTGTTGACACGGCTATTAATCATACGCTCTGTTGGCCAGCATTAAAATTGCAGCGACTTTTAACTCAGCTAAGCTTTGGCTGGCGGCACATCTTCCGCAAATTTGCATTCAGCGTGCGTGTGTGAGTGTGTGTGTAGCAAGTTTGACAACTAGTAACTGATTGTTTGCTGACTTGTAATTTGCCTTTACAAGTTCATTATCGCAATTAGGCAATCAATGCCTAATTCTGGCTGTGCACACTTCTTGATAATCGATATACACATGTATATATCTAGCTAATCTGGTGAGTCTACGCGTTGTTGCTGGCCTTTCAATTGCGCGCAATCAAATCAATTGCGTGATGGACAAGTCAAGCAAGCTTCATAAAATTCTATTTAGCTTTTATAATTCTTTATTTTTATTATTTTATTTATTTATTATATTAAGTTTTTTCTTCGAATTTTATTTTTACGCCTTTTGTACTGGAATGCGAGACATCTCATCCAGAAAATAAGACATCAGTATTCAAACCAGTTTTGTTTTTAAATTAGGAATTCAATCACAAATTCTGCTACTGAGAATTTTGGCTTTTGTTAACATGTCAGCTTTGGGCACATTAAAATAACTAATTAGCTTTATATAGAACATTTAAATTAATGTAATATAACAAGGTGGCTATTGTATATACCATAAAACTTGAGCTGCTCCTTTAATATGAACGCAGGGTTAGTGAATGTAACTTGAAATGTTTAAATATAATCAACAAAGATTTTATTTCAACTAAGCGATGAATATATAGATTTGGGAAGTTTTGAATTTTTAATACCTCCTACTCTCTTGCAAACAGACTTGTTTTAAAGTAGACACATTTGTATGTCATTATCACTCTCTATAAGTTTGATTAAGAAAGTCTATCTAGCACAAAAAATATACAGTAATTGGAATTCAGGGTATCTGCTAGACGAGGATTCCCAGTTACTCTTATATATCTCACACTGTTAATATTTTGCTAAGAAAGCTTCTTATTTAAGTAGTAAAAAAGTTTATGGTTTGGTGTCAATGACATGATTAACTTGAGAGTATTTTAAATTTGTTATCTGAAGCCTTGTTTTGATTACGTTTTAATTATAGTAATAATAATAAAAAAACTGTTCAAAAATGCAAATAAATATATTTAGCATATGCTAATCTGATATTAAAGAAAAATATGACCAATAGCAAACCTTTAAGTGGTTTAGATACAAATCCAGAGGCAGGTGCACAACCATTAGATTTCATAATACTTGCGGGACATGTGCAGCGATAGCGATTGGTGAAAGCCCAGTCAGAGCCTGGCTGCAGAGCAACAACAACTTGTTTGCCCAGAGTCAGAGCCAGAGACCCGTAGTGCTCAACCAAATTGACAGCCGAAAATAACGAAATACATGTTATAGAAATTGGAAAGTAAGAGTCCAATACTCCTATATATATATATATAAACATTTATATTACACTATATATAAATTATATATTTGATGTGTCAAGTCCAGATTTCAAATAGCTTTTAATTGCGGCTTTTGTTAGGTTCTGTGGCATATTTGATGAGGACAGCTGCAGCTAATTCGCAAAAGGGGTTATGCAAAAAAAAACATTAAAAATAAAAAGCAATTGTTGCGACCACAAAAATAGTAACAACAGCAACAAGAGGCAACGTGAGCAACCAGAGCAACGACAACGACAACGACATTTAAACTGGTTTGTGCCGCCAGAATTAGCCAAGCTGCTAAAGTCACAGCAGCTCTTGTGGATTTTTTGGGCACTAGTCTATGCATGTAGCATGTTGGCTTCGGTTGCATGAATCACACACACACACTCAGATTGAGAGTGTGTGTGTGCCATCTGCACACATTCCCGAAAAGTTCATCTGGCAAGTCTTTAATTGGCTAAATACCTTCACTTCACTTATAGACAGCTATTCGACTAATTAATTATTCACATATATACTATATATATAGTATATAGAATTGAATGAGTGCTGTTTCGAGGCACAACAGAGCCGTGGCCAAAGTCAAGGTTTGGCTTATCCGGTATTTGCTTATGGTAATTGGCCATATGATATAACCGTAACTCGAGCAGCATGAAATTCGACAAGTGCTGTCTGCACTTGACCATAACGTGGCTAAGATTACGATTACGCTTACGACATCTGAGCTGCAGCTGAAGCTGGAGCTGGAGGTGGAGGTGGAAGTGGAGTTGTAGGTGGCATCGCCCAGTTGCCGCTGGCCGTTGTCAGTTCTCCTTTCACAGCGACAGCAGCACTGCCCTCAAAAGTCGCTCATTAGCTGTTGGCTATTTCGAAAGTCAACCAATTTATAGAGAAACAAAACAAAAAAATAAAATAAAGTAAAAAAGCCAAGTCCATGTGAGCCCATACGCTCTAGGCCTGCGCCCATGCCCAATCGCATGATGTGTTGACGATTCGATTCGACGCTAGTCAATGCTACAATCGAGCCGCCTTAATGCTATCGTAGCTGCCGCTCTGATATTACGTCATGAAATATAATGATTTTCTTAATGTACTCATTGACTAGACAAAAAGCTATAATAACTTTGATCCAATGCGTGATGAGGCGGGAACTCGATAAATCGTTGCTATGAAATACGTTGAATATCGATTTCAATATGATATCTTTTCCAAGTAACACGATAAATATCGATTCGCAGCAGAGTTTTCTTTAGAGATTTGCCGCCTCGGACAGGTGTACGTTTCTTAATACAATTTTAAGTATATTTATATAATCTGTAATCGGCTGCCACCGATTGCTTAATACTCGTTCATATCTCTGCTAAATTTATTTTAATGGATTAAGAGGTATGTCTCTAGTTTGAAAACTGTGGAAGATGGAAGATAGACTTTGTCTCTAATCTTTATACCTTGACCTTTTCTTATATTGCAAATAACAAGTCGCTAATCAGCAATCCAATATAACCTCTTCTTCTTGTCGAAAGACCCAAATGACCAATCTGTAATGTAGCTGAAAGTTGACCCCCATCTAATATACTCTCTACACACTGTGTGAGCGAGCAGCGAGATGCAAATGTAGTTTGAAATTTGAAGTGCAGGTCAAGAGAGCTCGAAGTCGAGTAAGGTCTAGTGGTTTACTCCCAATAAATATACTCCATGCTCTCAGTGAGCGAGTGAAATTTGAAATTTGGGCGAACACAGCTCGAAGTTAAGTGCAGTCTAGTGAGACACTCCCAGCCAGCTCGCTCTTTAACTGTTTTGAAATCGTTCAGGGTGGCCCGTCAGACTGTCAGTCTGTCTGTCATCATTGCTTTTGCTATTTTGTTGTGTGCATTCTGCGCGCGGTACAAACTGAATTTTAATAGCCAATCTAATGTGTTGCGGCCAGTTTCATTAACGGTTTCGGCGTGTTGACAAGGTCTCGAATATGTTGAGCATTTCAAGTTTCTTTTCTGTTGGACTTTGTCAGATTTGGCTCTTTAAGAATTTTAAATGCCAACTTCGGTGCAAAAACTCAATTAACTAATATGCAATGATTATAAGCGTGCTGTTGAACGCCCCTAATGCGCTGCCTCAAGTGCGCTTCGCCTTTAGATCTTTATAGTAAACGTAACCCATTTAACCAATTAGAGCTGTTTGTGGCTTTGAAAGACTCCACCTCCGCAAATGAGGTGCGCCGACAGCCGGTTTTCCAACCGCTATCGTATTGTACTTTCAGTTTCAGCTCATTTCCAGAGCCAGCTTATCGATAGCACTCTGCTCTGCATACACACACCAGCTCGACACCTATAGTTAGCTACGAATACAATGCCGATTTGCCGATCGAGTTTTATTTCTTAGCTGCGGTCAGTCAGCTGTTGTTGTTGTCTGCACTCCTTTGGCTGCCATAAATCAGAGCTAAGTAAAAAAATATATATTTCTATTCTCTTGCATGAAGGCCAGCACCATGTCAAAGACACCAACAACTGCAGGCCCACACAAGGAGGTGGTACAAAGTGCGATGTTTATACGTAAGTTGCAATTTTTTCATCGGTCAAATGTTAAAAGATATACTGAATTTGATATACTCTAACGATAAACCATTTCGATATGGTTGAGTTATATAATGCATTCGACCCATACAAAGTGAAAGTCGTTTCCTTTTATTTCTTTTCTATTATTTCTTTGCTCATTTGGCTGACAGCATCTGCAACCCGGAACTGAGTTGAATATGTGACGTTGTCCACCTGTCCTAAAGGCATTTCAAATCGCATATACCCTTATGGTAAGCGCATTGCATACAAGAAATTTAACATATTTTTTAGCTCATGATCAAATCGCAAACCGGCTGCGCTTTTACCATCAACGAATCCATGAAACATACATTCAGTATAGTTTATTCCTCTGGTGACAATTAATGCTAATAAATGTTCATAAAAATTGTGCGTTGCTCAATAACTAATAGGTTTTGTGAACTAATGGCACTTGCTGCAGTACACATCATATTTTATTATTCAGCAAAACTTCATTTTCATCAACAGTTTCTTTGAGCAACGAGTTTACCATAAAGACGAGTATATCCTGACTTGTTTATCGTATGGGTTGATACACCTTCAAATACCTCATCAATCGCTTGTAAATGGTATCGTATGATAAAGCGGCCTTTAACTGTACTGTATAATCAATATCAGCAGCAGAGTCGATCTATATAAGACGCTTAAACACCAGACACTTCAAGACGAGGGGATCATGCAAATATATATCTGAGACTGTATACATATATGCGCACATATACTCACAAGTTTATTCGAACGGCCTGCTCGGAAAAAGCCTTAAGTCATTTTTCTTATGTAATAAACTTGTATCCGCATTGTTCTTGCTGTAATACAAAACTCAGAGCAAGTTTGGTTTAGTCAGCAGCTCACCTGTTGTGCACTTAACTAAGAACCAATTTATATTTTTGTGTTGCACTCCTATGCAATTCTTATAAATTCAAGTTCAGGTCGAACTGAGTCGTGTCTTGGATTTTACTTTGCCTCTATGTGTATATGTCTGTGTCTTTGCTACGTTTGAATATTGCTCCTCTGAGTGAAACTCATAAAAATACAAATACTTTTACAAGTAACTCTAGAAGAATATGTTTCATCTATACCTACCTAATTAATATTTCATATTAATATCTCACTCCTCTTCTTGATTTCTGGTTTCATATCACTCTCTTTATTTAATTCTCTCTCGTTATTTATCTCCCCTTATTGTCATATTACTATCTCTCTCTTTCTCCATCCCTTCTCTCTCTTTCTCTCTGATCTCCTTCAGTCTCCCTCTCACTCCATGGGTTTTTGTTCTATATATTACTTTAACTCTTTCTTTCTTTCTCATTTTGTCTATATAATTATCTGCCTCTCTCTATCTATAGTTCTCTATCATGATGTATCCATCTCTATCATTCTTTCTTGTTCTATATCTATATCTTTCCCTTTCTCTTTCTTTCTCTTTCCCTCTCGCTCTCTTACTCGTCTCTCAGTTTCTCTTCCTCAACTCTTTTTTTTTTAGTTACGAGACTTAAAGAGTAGACACTCCCCAGTACTGAAAATAGATGATCTTCTAGAGTAAATCTGTTTGTTCATATAGTCACCTAGGGTTACTCCTAGTCCATCACTCAAACCTAATACATTCTTTCTGTGTTCAAAGCACTTATATTTCTTATATGAAATGTTGCAATAAGTACATAAACTTTGCGTGTATGAATACTGAATACCAAGTAGACAGATTTGGCGTCGTCGTTGATTTTTCTTGAGCGCACGCACTTTTATTTATTTGCAAACTCAAAGTTTGCTTTTCATTTGGTTGCTCTAGAAAATCCAGTTTCTTATTTCTACGTTGTCTGCACGCGCTGTCGTTACCGTAGGTGAACGGAAATGTTTGGGAGTGGCAGGACTACCACCAAAGAGCGAACACTTTGAACAGCCGTTAGATAATGACGCGGTTGTTGATTTATGCGACAGGCTATTATCTTTATAGAGCAACCGACGGTCCGGGTCAACTCTGGCACCATAACTAAACAAACGTCAAACGGTAAAAGATTATCATGATTTCAGATTGCTCTAGGCCAAATTCATGAATTGAAAATTAACATTGGTAATTGGATAATAATAACCGGGGGATTCGGAACTCCCTTGTGATTTGAAATGCGACGCCAGGCAAGGTGTGCCCCATTTGGGGCGTGCCACATTCAGTTGTCGCTCGCATGTCAACGCCACAATTACGAATCTCTAATGCTGGTTCCACTTGTGTGGCTCTGCTGCTGTTGCTTCTCCAGCTAACAAATCGTAGAGCAGAGGCTCATGGGTTCGGTCTCAACCTGATGCAGCTGCCCAACGAAGATAAATCGCAGGTGGCATGCGTCTCGGCGCTGTTGCAAAAATATTTCCACTCCGGCGATGCACTCTCCGGCGCAGTGCTCTGCGTGGCCGTCACCCCAAATACGCCCGATATGCTGGATCAGCTGATGCTGGCTCTCAATCATCATCAGAGCTACACGTGGAGCATTCTAGTAACTTTTCCAGGAGAGGATCGAAAGTCGAAATCCAATTTACACATAATGCATGAGAAGCCGCAATGTTATTTCGTTATTGTGGAGGACTTGGATGATGATGATCTGGACGGGGCAATCGGCAATTGGCGTCAAATGCTTAACTGGAATCCGTTGGCACAGTTTGTAGTCTTTTTGGCATCTGTAGAAGAATCGGATGAAGAGATGACCGATTTGATGGTGGAGATACTGCTAACATTTATGAGCAACAAGCTCTACAATGTGAATGTGCTTGGACAGAGCGAAGAGAATAGCTTCTACTATGGCAAGACCGTATTTCCGTATCACCCGGATAATAATTGTGGAAATCGTGTGATCGTCGTAGATCTGTTGGATGCATGCGGCTATGAGGATGATACGGATGATGAGGAATCCGAGAGTGATAGTGACGACTACGAAGATGATGATGAAGACACAAGCTTTGATGACGATAATGAAGATGACGAATCCTTAAGTGATAAGAAAGCAGTTACTGAAAGCTTGCCTGAAGCGGAAGAAGATGCACTTGATGCCAGCTCAAATACTGACTTTGAAGCTGATGCTACGGGAGATGAAATGATGAATATGCACGCATTGACTATGGAGAACAGTGCTGAAACGGACAACATTGATGAGTCTTCCAATGAAACAGTTCGAGTTCAGTCAGCAGCTTCCATTGAGGAATATATGCGCGCTCTGTTTGAAGACAAATTCCCAAAAGATCTGAGCGGCTGTCCCATTAAAGCCGCTTATCGTGGTCCCTGGGAGCCATACATATTTGTCAGTGCCGAGACGACTGTGCCAGAGGTGGACTATTACGGCGCAGATGCTGCAGGCAATGCAAGCGAGCAAAACTACGATGAAGGCCTTGATGTAGAGGACTATACTCTAGAGAGTGACAGTCCTGACAGTTCCGCGGCCGATGAACCGGTGGATTTCAGCAAGTTGAATGGCATCGAGTTTCAGCTGGTGCAGACCATAGCTCAACGCCTACACATGTTCATCGACTTCAAGAAGAAGAGCTCCAATGTGTTTCATCTATTCAATCTACTGATAGATGGGTAAGGCATACATAAGAAGAGCACACGTAGTTTTACATTAATAAATACTTTCTTATTGACAGTCGAGTCGAAATGATTGTCGGAGGCATTGGTGAGGATCCCAGCACTACCCAGTTTGTGTCCAGCTCCACATCGTACCACCAGGACGACCTGACCTGGTGCGTGGCCAGGGCCAAGCGCAAGCACAGCCTCTTTAACTTCTTGGCCAGCTTCGATGCCAGTGCTTGGTTTTTAATATTGTTCTTCATTATTATCAGCTCGATAGCTATGCTGATGACTGAGCAGCTATCTGGCTTTCAGATCAGTAATCAGAACAACTATATATCTATTTGCCTGCGTATGCTGGGCATACTGCTAACGCAGTCCATTAATGTGAATGCTCGAAGATTGTCTTTGGCACCGCGGTTAATTTTTCTGATGGCCTTCTTGTTGGCCTTCTTCTTCAGCAACACCTATCAGAGTTTCCTGATAAGCACACTGACCACACCAACTACAGAGAGCCAAATAACCCAAATGGTGGAAATCTATGACCAACGCATGACTATTATGGTCAGCTCTGAGAACATGCGGCACCTGAACAAGGAGGGCGAGGTGGGTGATCAATTTATCTGTATTTTTATCTAACTCTCTCTGTCTCTCTATCACTCTCTCTTTATGTAGATCTTTAAGTACATTCGCGAAAAGTTCGAGATCTGCTATAACATTGTGGATTGCCTCAACTCTGCTGTCGACAATGAGCATCTTGCCGTGGTCGTCTCACGGCAGCACGCCCTCTACAATCCCCATATACAGCGGAACAAGCTCTTCTGCTTCGATCGTCGTGAATCTTTGTATGTCTACCCGGTGACCATGCTGCTGCCAAAGAAATTCCATTTGCTGCCCCACATCAATGCGGTGATTCAGCATGTCATAGAGTCGGGTCACATGCAGAAGTGGGCACGCGATCTGGATATGGTGCGCATGATACAGGAGAAGATCGCACGTGTCCAGGAAGATGCCTTCAAGACGCTGACACTGGCCGCATTTAAAGGCGCCTTTGCCTTTGCCAGCCTCCTCCTACTGCTGGCCACCATTGTCCTTGTCCTCGAGTGCCTAATCTATGGGCTGGTGGTTAGATGTCGCACGCGGCTCCGGCTTATACGCTACTTGCATCGTCGCTTGGGCAAGCGACTAGGCTAAAGTTGATATATTGCGCATACGCCCCCCTACATCCAGCTGTGGACATGTTACGCCACGTTTGGCCAGCTGTTGACAAGGGGAAGTGCCGTAGATCAAATTATACAAATTGCACAGAAATTTTATTCAAATATATACCATATATATATAGATATATATATATACAATTATATATATATTAATATATAAGTATATAGCGCACATATATAGTATTATATATATTTCATATTTTCTTGGCACATTATTCAATTTAAAAATACAAAATTGCATTCTGCCGTGGAATGCACGCCAGCGTTGCCGTTGCGGCTGCTTGTCATAATCCAAGCAGTTGTCGACGCTTCACAGTGGCTTCAAAGCACCAAACCAGAGCAAATATAAAAATAATTAAGAGATTAATGAATATTCAAAGAGTTTTCTTCTAGCTTTTCTTTTTTAAGGGAACTGCGTAAAATATTTTTTTATATATTTAAATGTTTATATATATATATATATATATATATATATATATATATATATATATATATATTATTGTTGTGTATTATTTAATTTATTTATATCATTTTTTTAAATTTATTTAAATGTTTATTTATTCATATTTTATATTTATGTATATATTCTTTTGTATATTATTTAATTTAAGTTTATGATTTTAAATTTTTATTAATTTATAAATGCGCTAATTTGCCCACTGTGCTTGGCCGTCGTCACCTCCTTTGCTGGCGCATCCTTAAAAGGTGGTGGCCTACTGCGCCGACTGCCCCGTACACAAAAATATGTATTGTATATATATACGTATATATATATATATATATATTCATAATTTTTTATAAGTATTATATTTTTAGACTTACACATTTGTTGTGGTATCATCAAATTGGCATCTTTTTGTTGTTGCTGGCCAACACAACACAATTCAATCAGCTGCTTGTGTGTGTGTGTGTATGTAAGTATACAGAGTGAAGCGGTCGAGCGATCTGCTTGACTGAATGAGTTTTTCGTTATATTCAATGAATACTATTTTACATTCGATTTAGAATGAACTGAATATATAAAAATATGCATCAATAACTGTGTATACTATATATTTATATCGAAGAAACCTTGAAGAAACTGGGTACAAATTAATTTTGAAATAATTGTCCGTTAAATTGTTATAGTTTATTAAATATGCATAGTTTACGAATAAAGTGTTTACATGACACACAAAATTGACATCGATTGTATTCAGCCAGTATGTGCCAGTCAGTGAATACAATAAATATTTGAATACATTTATAAACCTAAAACCAAAAGCCTAATTAATCAATTTCTTACAATGCTAACGAAGAGCATTCAATCATCTTTGAGCTACAGTAGAGCTTAGCTATACACTCATTAATAAAAGGGTATTAGCTAGTCGTACACTGTCTAGTGTATACAGTTTGCACCTGTATTATCTAGCCAAGCACAGAGCAGCTAACTTAAAAAATATATAAAAATTAAAAATTTAAGAAATCTTTTAAAAATAGATTTCCATTCGTATCTGCGCGTCAGCGTCAAAGAATCTTATGCAAAAACGTGAGAGCGCACGATATTTGATTTTTTCCTCGTTTTCTTTAAAAATAACATCAACAAAAGCAAAAAAAAAACGCAAAAAATTTCTGTGTAAACAACAAACATTCGAGTTAATAATGAGCAACAACAATATGAACAAATCAAGCAAACTATCGAAATATTTTCCTATTTTTACATTATTGATTATATATATTCAATAAATTTCAGCTTGTAATTTCCTATATGTACAAGACAGAAACTATTAACAATTTTCGACTTGCATGTTTATGATGCCGAAGCAACACCCCCACCCTCTGCAACTGCACCTCCATAGACCCTCTAATATACACCCACATGCAAACGCCCAACGAATTGTAGCACAGAATATTTTCGATACTTAAATATTTTGTTTTGTTTTGAAATTCTTTTTTTTCTAACTGCGAGTGCCCCAACGAGAGAGAGACAGCGGGAGAGCAAGGCAGAGAGGAGAGAGAGAGAGAGTTTCAAGCATCCCCATGTATGGATTGGACCAACGTGCAAATGTTGATTAAAAATTAGACAAAACAAAAAATTATATATATACGCCTACGACGCCTCCACGGAGAATCGACTATGTGCATGTGTGTGTGCATTTGTGTGTGAACAATTTTTGTTTACCCTATGCTCAGCGACGGCTGCTTTGGCCTCTCTAAAAAAAATATGAAAGAAAAAAAAGTATTTTTAAAAGATATTCGAAAATTTCCCCTTTAGCAAAATGTGCATCCATGTGCTGCATATGTCTGTCCATATCTGTATCTGTTTGCGTACCTCTTGTCGCTGTATGCGTGTGAAAAATCTGCTCGACTGAGGGTCGCTCGAATGGTATAAATATTAGCTCATTACAATCCAGCAGCCACTCGCAGTTCTACAGCGAAAGTGTTGATATACAATTTACAGTTTTTCTTTCTTAACCAAACGGTTAGTAAAAATATCTAAGATAAATAATAAATACATTTTCTGAAATCTTTAAAAAACAACTTGAAATACAGTTGAGTTTTTAAAAATCCAAGATCTGTTAATTTTTTAAATCTTGAGGCTCTTGATCGAAATTTCCGTATCCTTCTGAATTCACCACATCTAACTGTGTATCTTCTGGTGTCTTCTGCAGTAAAACAGATCAGTCGCCAGGATGTGTGATGATGAAGTTGCCGCATTGGTCGTGGACAATGGTTCCGGTATGTGCAAGGCTGGCTTTGCCGGCGATGATGCGCCCCGTGCCGTCTTCCCATCGATCGTAGGCCGTCCGCGCCATCAGGGCGTTATGGTTGGCATGGGTCAGAAGGATTCCTATGTGGGCGATGAGGCGCAGTCCAAGAGAGGTATCCTCACTTTGAAATATCCCATCGAGCACGGCATCATCACCAACTGGGATGATATGGAGAAGATCTGGCATCACACTTTCTACAACGAATTGCGTGTCGCACCTGAGGAGCATCCAGTGCTGCTCACTGAGGCCCCACTCAATCCCAAGGCTAATCGCGAGAAGATGACCCAGATCATGTTTGAAACATTCAACGCACCCGCCATGTATGTGGCCATCCAGGCTGTGCTCTCCCTGTACGCCTCCGGCCGTACCACTGGTATTGTGCTGGACTCTGGCGATGGTGTCTCTCACACCGTGCCCATCTATGAAGGTTATGCCCTGCCCCATGCCATTCTGCGTCTGGATTTGGCCGGTCGTGATTTGACCGACTATCTGATGAAGATCCTCACCGAGCGTGGCTATTCATTCACCACCACTGCTGAGCGTGAAATTGTGCGCGATATCAAGGAGAAGCTGTGCTATGTCGCCCTGGACTTTGAGCAGGAGATGGCTACCGCTGCTGCCTCCACATCTCTGGAGAAGTCCTATGAGTTGCCTGATGGACAGGTCATTACCATTGGCAACGAGCGCTTCCGTTGCCCCGAATCTCTGTTCCAGCCCTCGTTCTTGGGTATGGAATCGTGCGGCATTCATGAGACCGTCTACAACTCGATCATGAAGTGCGACGTGGATATCCGTAAGGATCTGTATGCCAACATTGTCATGTCCGGTGGCACCACCATGTACCCAGGTATTGCCGATCGTATGCAAAAGGAAATCACTGCCCTCGCTCCATCCACCATCAAGATCAAGATCATTGCCCCACCTGAGCGCAAATACTCCGTCTGGATCGGTGGCTCCATCTTGGCCTCCCTCTCGACCTTCCAGCAGATGTGGATCTCCAAGCAGGAATACGATGAGTCCGGCCCCGGCATTGTGCACCGCAAGTGCTTCTAAGCAACACAGCAAACACATACACACAACACACACACAAGCAAAAACAAAGAAAAATCGGCGTCGCTTACCTGGCGCCTAGAGCTTAATAATGATTAATTTTAAGTTAAACCTCTTGCTGCCCTGCCAACCAGACGGACATAGAAACCAATTTATCGACCAATCAGACAGCAATGAAATGTATTATATTTATATTAATATTTATTGGAAGTGTCGCTCAGATGACGAACGGAGAAATTGAGAAGAAAAGAACTATCGAAATTTTACAGTTTACAAATAAATAATAGCATCCATTTTAAACTATTTGCAAATTTTCTGCTTGGATTTCTCTTGATCTCTTTCTGTATATATGTGTGCCTATAGATATCTTTATATTTAGCGTACGCAGGAAATTACGGTAATTTCGCACATCCACCCCCAACCAGACTATGAGGTGTAGCTAATGCCAGCACTCTGCAGCTACAGATATAGTTCCACATATATGTAGATTCGCGCTGCTTTTCCAAAGTACACACATATTTCAGGCAGATGCAACTGTTCGCCCCCCTCGTCGACAAGGGCTAAAAATAACATTCTGTGAAAATAACAACATGCAACAACAACAAAAACAGCAGCAGCAACATGATGTTTGTCTTGAAAATAAAATTCATGCAGACATTGGGCATCGTCGTTTGGAAACAACATTAAACAGTGCCTGCCGGCTGTCTTCTAATTGCAGTGCCATGGTGCGACCCTCGGCTGCTGCGAAAATATCTTGGAATTTCAAGTACACACACATGTGCGTGTGTGTGCACGCACTTGAACATTGCAGGTCATATGGCAGCTGGTGGCTTCCTGGAATGGCCTGGCTAATTGAAAAAACAAGCCCAAATACTATTTCCGTATATGCACATTTATTAAACATTTAATTATAAAAATGCATGTTTGTTTTTTAAAGTTGTATACAAAAAATGAAATGCTCGCTTTGCACTTAATAATTGATATATGGTATATATAGATATAGATATATTTTTCTATATATGTGTATATGAGTGAGTGTTCAGTTAGCTGTCATTTAAACCTCATGAGCGTGACACTAGATTTAAAATTGAATACATTGAATAGAAATATAGTTGAATATTCAATTAAAAATCTGCGACGATTTCGTTGTTCATTTTGTTTTGTTACTTTTTCTTTTTTCTGTTAGTTGGAATACTGAAATTTTAAAAAATATATATGTATATGTTTTTGTCACATTTTCTTAGCTATAATATAGAGCGTTGTATATTAAGCAGAAAGACATCACTTTGCTTGGTTAAAATCCAGTCTATACACTTATCATTTAATTGAATACATTATGTAAAATTTAAGTACACTGTTTCTTGAAGCACATTTCTCTCGCTGACGAGACGAGACATTTATCGTACATTTATAGTTAATATAATTTAAGGCACATTTAATGGACAGTTAACATAATATGTTTTCGATAGTTTCATTTTGATTGAACCTGCTCTCTCATTGTCTTTAATGCTCTTGATGCAGCGGTTGCTGCTACTTGGAATGCTTAAAAGAATGTTGTCTAAGGTTTGTCATAGCTATCTTCTTATATATATAAATACAATCTTTAAGTCTTATCAATTATAAAATTGTTAAATTTAAACAATAATTACAACTGTGTTGTAATAACGGATTTGCGTATTATGGTCGGTTCACGTCCCTTAGGCGCTGAAACAATTTCCGAGGAGACCAGCCAGGGTGAGACCATATCCCTGGTACTGTTTGCTGGAACGCGATTGTTCTCCTGCAGATTGCTGCCATGCTTCTGTGGATGTTGATACAACACGTTTTAAATATTTAAATATACACTCATTAAAATAGATAATTGTTTTATAGAGACGGTTATAGGTAGGTGCATATTGAAATGAAAACAGAAAATGTTAGTTTGCAAGGCTAATTAAAGAACAGAGATGATATATCCCAACTCTGTTTGGGGCCAAACCTTTTCGCTTTGCGGTGCATCGACTTCGCTTTCATTGGGCTGCTGGTTCGCCTTCTCGGCCTCCAAGCGCTCCTGCTCGCTGAGCGTAGAAAATAGCAGCGTGCCAGCGCTGGGCGTGGATGTGGTAGCGCTAGCTGTTGAGGGTTTTGTTTTTGCCTCTGATTTGCTGTTCGCCGTCGCATTATTGTTTATTATATTGTTAATGAAAATTTCATTAATGAGTATTTCAGCTGCTGAGGCATTGCTCAGCAAGGAGTTTCCAGTTCCACTGGCCGCAGCACCGGTCGGCTCCGTGGCAATGTTGCTGCTGCTACTGCTGGGTGTATTAATGCTGGTCACCGTGGTGGCCATGCTGCCGGTGGTGTTTGTATTGTTTATTGTCGGTGGCAGCGAAGACGGTGGCGTTGGCGGCCCGCTAAAGGCCGACACGAAGGTGGCATTGCTGAAGGGTGAGTTACTGCTGGCCCGAGCATTAGCGTGGCTATTGATGGTGCTCGAGTTGCTGCTGCCACTGCCGCTGCCGTTGCTGTTGCCGCTGCCGCTGCCATTGCCACTGCTCGGCTTCTGTTCCGGTATGCTGAGCGTCAGCTTATCGCCGCCCTGTTTTTTATTTTGTGTGTTTTAAGCGTTTACAAAGCCAAGCAAACATCGAAAATAACAACAGCCACAGCACACACACACATACACACGTACATAGGTTAAACACAAAGTGCACACAACGAATGTAAATAAAACAAAAAAATAAATGTACAGAAAAAAGCATGAAATAAGTGCAAGGCATGGGGCTAACTGGTTTGCTATCCAACTCACCACTGATATGTAGGTGGCATTCAGGGAATCCGGTCCATCACTGTGTGTATGATTGCTGTTGCTTATGTTGTTATTGTTGTTCACATGCATGTTGCTGCTGCTGCAGTTGCTGTTGCTATTGCTATTGCTTGAGTGGGCGGCAGGCACAAACATTTGATTGGTCAACTTCGCATTGCCGCCGCTGGCACCCATCTCTTCCTCAACGCGAGCTGATCAAATACACATTTTTAAGAAACATTTGAATAATACAAAACTGGACTTAACCTTACCCTTAAGTATATTGCACTTGATATTGCCCGGTGGCAACGCGCTGGCGCCTACGTTGGCTAGCTTCACTTGATTGTTGGGCTTCTCGTTTGTATTTGAGAGTCGCTTCAGTGTCTCCGTGTTGTGATCCATGTCAAAGGTCTTGTTTATGGTAACCCTAAGATATAAATTTAATTTTATATTTAACATACTTTTCATTTATGATAACTGATGTATATTATTTACGCTACCTGATACTGTTAGCATCATTAATCGCTTCATTTGCAAGCACAGATGGGGATGGATCTTTAACAATGGACTTAAGTAATGAATCTAGCTCTCTATCTTTATCCGATAAGCCGCTCCTAACACTGCACAATGATATACACAGAATACAGAACATAGCACAGATATGCGTGAGAAATACAAAACAATGCGTATATTAGTCAAAAGGCAAAGACAGAAGCGGTACAAGTAGCACAACAAGGCAATATACAATTCCGGCACCCACCTGAGCTGGCCCGAGCTAATTGAGGCTTTGCCAAAGCTGCCATGATGCGAGGTGGCCGCACTTCTAAACGGATTCGTCTCATCAAAGTTCTTAGTAGCGTTCGGGGAGTAGGGAGGTGTGTACTCTGGCTCCAATCTGAGAAAGTAATATAAATTTATGTATTCTTTAAACTTTTTAAGTTCTCTTAATTTGCATACTTCACCAATAGCCCCGCCGCCTTGCCAACGGAACCTATCTTGCTGTAGGCCGGATCATCATTGCTAAAGTTTGATTTAAGTGAGTTGCGACCCAGCGACGGGCAGGTGGCAGCCGCATTAGTAGATGAGCTAATTGAACTACTGCATGCCGCATCCGGTTCAATAATCGCCGAATTTTGTATAACAGTCAGAACGGAGGGTGAAGGGGTAACGGTAACGAACGGATCAGTCGAGATGAACGAATCGAATGTCTCATTATTGTTCTCATTGCTGTATATGGAAGGAACGACAGAAGAAGCTGTCGGTGGCGCTTGACCTGCGGCTGCTGCAGCTGCAGCGGCGGCTGCACGTGCATTCACCGTGGCAACGGCAGCTGCGGCCGATTCCTTTTGACGCTCGCGCAACAAATGCGACTGACGACTGGCGAATCTCTGCGAAGGCCGACGCTCAAACTGTACAGTGCGTCGAGCGCGGCTCTGCTGCGTGGTTTGGAATTCGGTGCGGCCAGAGTAACGGAAGCGAGAGCCCATGCGGAAGAAGTTTTGGCGAGCCGACGGCCCCTTGACAGGCGCTCGCAGACGGAAGAAAGTATGGTGCTCCACGGCGCACTTCCACAGATGCTTGCAAGCCTTTTCATTATACAGTCGAAAGACGAAGGTGTGTTCCTGTTCGCGACCCTCGTCATCATCTTCAATGACAATGAGTGTAAGTTTTTTCTTCTTGAAATCCAGTTTGCTAATCTTGGGCCAAAAGAAGAGGCCTATCTTTTGATCACGTTCGAACACCAGTATCCCAGTGGGCGTTAAGCCCAGATGATATTCGCAGCTATCTTTGCCCAGAACGGTGTGCATATCCACGCCGTACATATCCAACCACTTCGCCTTGTTTAAAAAGGCCGTTTCCGCCTGCGCTGGTGTTAGCCCACGACATGTTTTATACTCTTCTAATATGGCAATTTCCAGATCCTCTGTTTGCTCCGGCACGAAACGAAACTCCGACACGGTAGCGGCCGAATGGACCTGATCATCATAGTCGCCCAACTCCGCTGTAGATGCAAAAATAGGGTTAATTATTTACGCAATAAAAGAGAATATAGCTATAACACAATACATTAACCCATTGCTCGTTGAGGTCAACCTTTGCGACGACCAAAGGTCACAGCAAAGGTGTCCATTCAACTTTTCAAGTATGCATTGTATATAACTTTATATTCTTCAATAAATGCCAGCTCAGTGGGAATCACGTACACTGCAAGGCCAAAGCACAGAGCTCCGCAGATTTGTCATCCGGACAGTCTAAACGCCCCTCCAGTAAATCTTGTTTGAGTTGCAAGAAGAACAAATACCGTGTTAGCTCCTCGCGTAGCGTATTTGGCTCCGAAGAGTAGAATTTGACCTTCAAACGGAATGTATACGGTGGTCCAACTAGAATGGAAATTAAATATTTAAAAAAAAATATATATATATACTATTATAAATATTATTGCATACTCACTTTTCACTTGCTTCTTGATGGGTTTGGTGGGATCGAGCCAGTGCTTCACATGGTTCGCATCCATAAACTGCAGACCAAAGTAATCTTTCTCAATAATGTCCAGAGCATAGAACACCTGTTCATAGAGGAAGCTGCCAAGCGCTTTTTTCTGCAATCAATGAAAATTTAATTAAAATTTATGAACGAAATCGCATGCAATGTAGAGATGTGAGCGTGTTGTATTACTTGAGATCACGATGTACAGAAAAATTAAAAAAAAAATTTTAGTAAAACTATATTAAATTTAAAAGTAATTTTTCATAATTCATTCATTATGAATGAAGATCTCTGCAACGGAAAATCTTTTGGCGCTTGCTTAGAGCTGAATTGAAAATGTATATTATTATGGAAAATTCGTGAGACCGTGGCACGATATAAGATACGTCACGGGTCCATCTCTAATGCAGAGTATCAAGTGTGGCCCTGAACTAATCACGTTTGTTTTTGTTTTAAATTCTTTTTTCGGGGTTCTTAAATAATGTGCTTGATCGGCAGTAAATTTTCTGTTTATCACACGTACACACACACACACACATACACAAGTATGCAATGATTGAATTTTTTACTCCACCTTACACAAACAATACAAGACCCCTTTGCAGCAATCCCCCCTCTAATGAGTGCTCCTTCTGTATGATAAGCGGAATGTAATTCTATATACTCACCGATAATTCGATGGAAAGGTCAGTATTGTCCAGCAGTATAACACGGCAGTCGATTTTGTTTTTGTTTACGACGATACGTTGGGGCTTAATCTGTGACCCGCTGCTGCTCGCAATGACGGCACCGCCGCTGCCGACCCCACCACCTCCACCTGCGCCGCTGCCGCCTCGCCCGTTGCTCGCATTATCCGCATAGTTGTTGCGCACCTTGCGACGACTTAGAAAACGCAGCATTTTTTGCAGTCGCTCACTTCTATACTATTGTCGGTTAGTATTCTGTTGGTTGGGCGTTTGGCTTTGTTGCCAACACAGCGTATTGCACCAATAATTCACCTGTGTGCTCGCTTCTTCGTCGTCTGGGAAAAAGCGCAGACATCAAGACCACAGCGTTCATACACTCACTAACACATACAAACGCGGACGCACGCACACCTGCAGAGCACAAGCGAACCGTAGACACCAATACACGCGCAACGTCATACAAATGAACTGCAACTTGTTCTTGTATGGAATAGATACACACACACACAGAGGCGCACGCCCCCCGTTTCCTTAGTCTAACACAAACGAATCGGGTTGAGCTGGGTCTGGGGCTGGGGCAGGCTTTTGGCGCTCCTGTAGCCGCGCGGTTATATTTCCCCCAAATCACAGTTAGTTACAGCGGCGTCCTCTTTTCCGCACTGGTATAAAAAACAAGTCCGCCCCAAACACGTTCCGTTCCTTTCGTTCCTGCCAGAGAGAACACAAATGCTAGCAGCCAGCAGTAATATTTCTTTCTCTACAAGCGGATTGTTTTTAGCGCTTCGTTTTATAACATAAGTATGCGTGAGTTGTAAAATTAAATTGTGTAAATATATTTGTTATGGTGCCGTAAATTATACATTTGCTGTACTTGCAAGCAAAGTTTTATGCGATGATGGTAAAACGCGCAGTGTGACCGAGTGACGATAGCGTGAAAATGTAGCTTCTTCTCTTCTGTATCGATACTTATCGGTAAAAAGTTATGTGTGCACTGGTCGTACTGTTTTATACTGATTATATTTGAATTTGAATTTTTTAACATTTTATGAATTATTATCAATTCAGCGCAAAAATATTTTAAAATTCTTAAGTATATTATGAATAAATATTGTGTGTATTACTTTATTTTCACTATATCAGTTCATTGCCAAGTTCGCGCCTTTTTGCTAGTGTGTTATCCAACACTTAATGCTCGACAGTTAAATAATCGATTATGGCTATAATTTTTTAAATTTTTAGCGCGTGGCATAAGACAAAACGCAAGGGAATAATATATAAACAAGTCCCTTGGCCTTTCGGAACCATAACTGGCTAACAAATCAAATTTCTGTGGATCAAGCCAAGCAGGCAAAGTAATAAGAAACAATGCTAAAAAGCTTACAGCCATATAAAATAGAAACAAAGTTACGAAATTTTATGATTAAAATAAGTAAGTTTTACTTGAACAGAATAAAAAAGAAAACTATCAGTTAAGTTACATTTACAACGGTCCCACCACAGCTGTAAATACAAAGCACATGAGGGGCTTTCTAGTTGCAGCCGGCATTTGCAAAATCCTTTTTATGGGCAATTTATTCCTTTATTTGTTAGTGGATTTAGGGCTGGAGCTGTAACTGTAAGCGACGCAGTCAACCAACACACACACACAGATACAAGCAACCTCCCCTTATTGGTCGCCGTATTTCGAGTTTAAAGGTAAATGGGAGATTTATCGCCAACAATTTCCGTATGTTCATGTGTGCGTGTGAGTGAGTGTGCGAGTGTGTGTGTGTGTGCTTGCTTGTGTGGTATTTTCTGCCTTCTTAGCTGTTGGTTCATATTTATATCGAGCTTTTAGTGGACCCCCGAGATGGGGGCCTCGGTTTTCCTTTACAACATTGGCTAAAAGCGTAAACTATGCATGCACACTTGCATGATTAATCTACGTTTATTGGCTATCAATTTTCACTCGATATGCATTTACACTTAGATGAAAATGCATTTCACAGATATGACAGCATAATTACAGAATGCTTGTTTTAACTAGGCGCATGATTAATTGCCGGCTAATAAGGAAACCCGATCGGATGCCTAATAACAAGCCAGCCGGGCAGGCGAGCCGCAGACGTTTGACTGCTGCCTTAGCTCGACAGCAAGTTGGCCGGCCAGCAACCCGAGCTGGCCATCAGCAACTGGCCCAAACAACGTGCGTAGGCCGTAATTATGACAGCCAGCTAAATGGTTTGCTTTAATGGGTGTGTCACAATTAGGAAATGGCCAAAAGTTGTCTTGGCCCTAATAATAAACGAATGCCTTGTAAAGAGTTTTCCTTAACCCATATTTTTGTAGCTCTAGAGAATATTCATCGATAATGAAAAGTTGCTCAGGTATATAAATATTTGTGTGTCTGAATGTGTGTATGTGTGTGTGCGGAAGGAGAGTGAACTATGGGCAACTACTGTGCATTTTATCTGCAGTTGAGTGCAAAATAAATTCCTTTTAATTAAAACCGCAGCTCGTGATTTAAATTGCTTCAGGCTGAGGCGTCGTCGGCGCAATTTATTGTTGGCCATCCATAAATCAGCCGTTGGCGACGCGACGCTTGGCTCGGTTGCCATGGGGGCCAACGAAAAGGTAAATTCATTTTAATTAAATAGAAAAAATGTTTTGCTAAGGCTAACAAACTGGCCAAAAGGGCCCAAAATGACATCGAACGAGTGATATCCAAAGGCGAAAGACACAAAAAAAAAACAGAAGATGAAGAAGGAATTCGAACTTTCCAGTAATTGGCTACTTAAGTTCTCGATTGGTACGGTACGGCACGTCGATGAAGGCGAGAACGAGCAGCAGTCATTGCAATAAAAAACATCCTCGTGTTGTAAAATTTTATGTGTGATTGTATGTCGCTTTACGATATCCTGGCTGGCGCGCTGCTCTCGACTCGGCCTCTCGACTCTCGGCTCGTTATTGTCGGCCAAGAGACAAGCACAGGATGCGATGCGACGCGATGCGATGCGATGGCCTTCAGTCCGCCTCCAGGGCAAGGCGTTTGTATTGAGCAGCAGCAGCAGCAGCATTAGCGGCAACAACAACATTTGTTGTCTCAGCAAATTTTGTGGAGGAAAACTAAGCGATTGCCGTTTACCTGCTCACCTACGCCCTGGGGGAATAATTCACGGCTATTTGGCAAGTCAACAGCTTGTTTTATTTTTCGATGAGTATTTTTATGACGAAACGCGAGCGCATCGGCCAAAATCAATTGGAAATCAATGTGGCAAAAAGACCAAAAACAAAAATATCTTGACTGCGAAATAATTAGTTTAAACCAACTTTTCTCCCTTTTATTGTAAAATGTACAAAAATTATGCGAAAATTTATTTTATTTCATATACAATTTAAAATGTGTCAACTTTTTTGCCGCTACGCGACCTTTTCATAAAAAACCATATGAAATGTATAAAAAGTTATTTATGCCCTGGGGCAGCTTTTGTTGCAACGCCATTTGGGGCAACGGTGCTTAGTGACCACAGTCCAAAAACCCCAAAAAAAAAATGTATATAAGCGAAGAAGAAATATAAAAATTCTAGCGGCCTTTTTGTTCCTCCAACTCTTTTTTGGCCTGACAGTGGCTTTAATCCTGGCAACGGAAGAGAGGGAAGGGCAGGGAGGGGCGTTCTAAAACTTTGGTAGCATTGCAACAATTAAAAGTGGCACAAGGGTCATTGAAACAATTGGGCATTGTTATTTAGCCAGGGGATTTAATTTATGCCACTAATTACTTTAAGAGCTTTTTAGCTGCAATCATGCTGCGAGTGCTCTGAATGCGTTGAGTGCGCAGCCACTGAAAACTTCCTTTGAACTTTAAGCGCGGTTTGCTCGCTCGGCTCCTGCGCTCTTCGCAAGCCTAGGCAAGCCGAAAAACAATATGCAAATGAGTTTCACATATATTCAAATATATATTCTTTTCTATGCCACTAGGTAGAAACTAAAGCAAAAGTTTGGCCGAGTTTCGCATCTTACGCTTTTTTGGCAACAGTTTCGCTTTGCTTGACTGTCTGCGGCTCTTTCGGGTGACTGCGACTCTGAAATGACTTCAAATGACTTTTGGCCAAGCCGAAGAAACTTGAAAGGTTTTCTGGCTATTTACACTTGATTCGGACATATGTACGCACCAACACACACAGAGCTCTATATATATATGTGTGTGTATTAGATAGGTTTTGGCCATGACAGCAAACAGCAAAAACAGTTTGGCATTAGTTTTTGCATTTGGCTCAAAGATTTTACCCTTGGGATGCGGCAACAATAAAACTATCAACTTTAAATTGTAGTTCATATTATTGATGTGTGTGTGTGAGAGAGTTTTTTTCGCTTGGCTATGCGAGTTTTCCCATAATCATGCCAAACTAAGCATGTTTTTGATTTGACTTCCACAAAAGTTAAAAGCCCGCAAATTCATTCGAATTTCATTTAAATTATGAAGCATGAAGTGGCAGGACGAAGAAGAAGGCATGCTATACGCCATATTTATATATATATATATATATATATATATATATATATATATATATATATATATATATATATATATATAGATCGATTGTCCTTATGTATATATATGCTTGTTAGCCACAATAAGATGAGTCTTAGACTCAGGCTACCAAAAAATATATCATTGATTCTATACTAAATATATATATATTTTAAATATTTTTTATTATAACATACCTCACCTCAAACACCTTCAAAACAGCAAAAAAATAAATATAAAAAAATATTTTCAACCATACATTCTTAAGCCTTGGGTGCAACATATCATATGCCATGATTCAATTATTTAAATCTATTTTCCTATTAATATATAGAAGAAAAATAAAATTTAAGAAAAAATATCCCAGCCTTACACAGTTTGCAGGGTATTTGCTAGTCGTATACCGCCCATTAGAATACACTGAACTGGTTTTGGCTTTCAAATTAGTTAAAGAGATTTGAAACTGGACATGAATTTCAATTCCATTTAAATGAAACCTCAAGTCAGATTAGCTGTCTAGAGCACAGTTGAATGGTAACCCGAACCGAACCACATTGAAAAATAATTGATTATTTCAATATTTTAGTGCAATCTTTAAAATAATATAAATATATAGAATAGAAATTGATTAACATTGCAATTTCAATTTAAAAATACAATTTGGGATTCATTAGAGGCGGGTCTTATAAATGTGGTTTACGAGCCGAGTTTTGGTTGTTCAAGCAAAATCTTATATATGTGGCTCACGAGCCACAGCTGCAGACAAGGAATCGGCTCAATCGCCTGGAATCGAACCACTTAGCACTGTCGTGGACAACTACTTGCCACATGCCACACAGAAGAGCCACATTGTTCGTAGGCTAGGCGAGAAGCGAGTAGCCGCTCATCATCAATGTGCAATATTTTGCTTATCATGCATTTTGCTTGGTCCAGCATCTAACGAACAGCACTAGAAGTGCTTCACACACAGAGAGACATAGAGAGAGAGAGAGAGAGAGAGAGTGAGAGACTGAAGTGGAGAAGAAAAAGTAGTTCATTGAGCAGCACAATTTGCTGATTGTTGGAATTTTTGGGATAGGAAATGAAAACCGAAACTGAAACTCATTTAAATCAATATTTTGTTGAGCACGTATGCAGCAGCAATAACAGTAGTCGCAGCAGTGGCAGTAGTAGGAGTGCCAGTTGCTAGTGGCAGTTGTATTTGGGGTTTTCTATGTTCGTCTCTCTGTGCGCTGTGCTCTGTGCTCTGTCCTCTGTCTTCTTGTGTGCTACGGCATCAGCACAATTGTCAAATGTTGTCTTGCTGGCCATACGCTAACCACAAATGCCCGAAAACCAAACCCCAGCCAGATGACGCCAGCATGCAAATGTCTTGTAACATTGTGCAGAAAATAGCCTTGGCTCACCCGACCACCAAACAACGCC